ACTGGAAATCGACGACTCATGCTCACTCCAGCTTGACTTTGGCCCTTGCCACGCAAACAGCCGGGAGCTGACTCTAGCGCATACTCTTCGGGACTGCCTCATGTCACCTTCCATCTCTTGAAAGAGGGCACCTCGAGCGGAATTCCATGCCTCCTTAAAGCACCACCGCACCAAAAGGAAACAACCTGTAGCATTACCCGAATGAGCTCAAAAAGGAAACACTCGCTCCCTTTTCTGTACGGAGCCCCGCCTTGGCCTGACCAAAGAAACAATTGTGTAGGCCGGGCTACAGCCACTGGTGAAAAGCCAGGGTGCATGTGCCCAGGCGCGCAAGACAGAGCCCACGTTGTCCTTCAGAAACCTGAGCGAGACCAGCAGCCACAAAACCAAAGAGAACCAAAATGTGCAGAAGGTTCAGCATTCACTAACTTGTGATGATTTCCTGGGCTCCCTCTGCTCAGACTGAAACGAATCCTTCCCCCGCACTTGGCAGGGGTCCTGACATGTCCCCTTGAAGCATGACCACCCAAAGGAAGCTCATCTGAAAATGGCGCAATCGGTGATGTTCAAATCACTCAACATGGACACATTATCATATCTGGGTTCTATTGAGGGATTGTCAAACAGCTTGACCCATGTTGTCCTGTTCGTGCCGCCTTGTGCCGCCTAAGAGAAAGTACCAAAAGGATGAGAAAAGGGTTCCTAAGTTTGACCTCCCATCTTGGTTGACGTTGAAAGGGGAGCAAACAAACATATTGTTTTGCAGTTAAGTGGGGATTTCCCACTAAACCACAATAAGCAAAAATGCAAAATGTTTCCCAACAACAACCGAGCCATGGACCTCTGCTTGGTCAATCGCGCCGGGTGCGAGTTTGGTCCTGGCCCAAGTACGCCAGGCGGCTCCCGCAAACGCTCCGCTGCTACAGACTGAGCCTGCTCCTCCTCCAGAAACCTCGGGCCGGGAAAGCTGCGCAGTAGGTAAGGGCCTGCAAAAGGATGGAGTGACCACTAGGGATGACCACAAGGCCGGTGACAAGCTGCTGGAAATCTCCATCAGCGATTGACCTAGGAACGCGCAAATAATTTTCATTGCGCTGGCATTCGTTCTCAACGTCTCGCGTTGCAAGTTGGGCGACAGGAAGCCCAGCTGAATCCGAAAACTGTAACTTGTAATTATTTCGATTCTGACGGAACAACCAAAAACACTCTGCCAGAACGCAATGCCAAATATTGTTCACCCTTAGCTCCCCTTCATGTATGTGATCCAGGCTTCAGCTAGTCCGAGACATGCCCTGCCCACAAGCAGCATTCCGGCTATGTTGCTGGATCGCCGGCTGCTGTCATTGCTGTTCTTCCCGGACTCCGGCTGTTTTAAATGCCTTTCCTAAAAGGGGTTATTCTGAATAGTTATTCTGGTTCATGAGGAGGGGCAGGTATACTCCAAACATTTTGAGCAGTCGCCGGGCAGCCTGCGTGTGGCGCACACAATGTCCAGCTTGGCGGCAGTTGTTTCCGGAAAGCAGCTGGCTAGCATAGCCCAAGTTGAGTAAAAGGTGAAATTTATGCGAAGAGTCACTTTGTAGTTCAGCCATTTGCGCGAATGGGTTGGTCGTTGGCAAACGCTGCACGTCGGATAAACAGCCGGCCAGTTTGGATTGTCTAAACACTACCAGTCCGCGCAATAACTTTGATAGCTCAAGACTCCCAGCTGGGGACTCAGAAGCTGTTGAGGAATTGGTCCTCTCCCCCGCCCCTCGTTCTTCCAAAAGTTGCTCAAGCCCCAAAAGCACTACTGAACCGCACGTAAAATCAAGCAGGCCCCCACATGGAGCTTTAATGTCGCCTGAGTTGACTTGTCCTCGAGGTGTCGGCCAAACAATTGGTGACACCTTGGCAGACTCATAGATTGAAAGAAACACGTCGCCAACAACTCACAGCTGAGTGCAAGTGCGGATTCTCAGGCCACAAACAACGCCTGCGACAAAACAAAAGGTCGGATCCCACGACCTGAATGACGGAAAACAACCTGTGGATGCAAAAAGGCGCGAACCAAGGGCCGAAACTGAAGGCCAATGATGGGCCTCTCTGCTCGGCAAATAGTGCAACGGTGATCAGCCCTCAAGATTTCCTCCACCTGAAATAAGGCCTACTGGGGTGAATTCTCACAAGCATTTCGACCCACTGCCGACTGTTTGAAACCTATAGATCAGGAGTGCCGAGGGACGAAGCCAGGCTGCATTGCTAACATGTGCGGAGTCCGCGACTGGCACATTTTTCGGACCAAGTTGAAACCGGTGGACGTCATCAAGTTTCGAAGCAACAGCCAAACACAGGTTTGCCTAATTTCAATGGTGGGGTGCTCTGAGAAGGTGGCTCATGGACTCCAAAGTCCGAAAAACCTGAGCGCAAAACCGTGCAACACAGGCCCCCAAAATAAGAATGACATGTCCTCCCCCGGCCAAACAGCTCACCTCGGGTCCACCAACCCCCCACCAACCCACCGCCCACCGCCACCCACCCACCCCCCTCCCCCCCCCCCGCTTTGGCCGGGCGGCTCCAACTCCCGGAGCTCCGCGGCGGAGGATTCCAGGGAGCCCTTCAAGCTGCTGAAGGCCTCACCCCACCCGCCAACCCGCCAGCGAGCTCCAGCAAACCCCATGCAAACCCGGAAGCCGAGCGAGCCAAATATCCCAATTGGTGGGTGACAAGCGAGGGAGCTCCACGAATCCGGAAACCCCGGAGAAAAAAACAAACAAACGCGCGAGCTCCAAATCTGCCCAATTGGTGGGTTGGTGGTAAATCCCTTGGGTCCAAGTACCAAACTGCTTCCTCTGTTGGGCGGGTTGGAGATTGGTGGTGCCCGGTGGGGTAACCTGACCCCTGCCCCATCAAAAACCAAAAGGTGCTTGGACCCTCTGGGTACGTCGAGATTCACACTGCTGGATGGGTGGTTTCTTTGGCTTCCCTCTAAACCAACCTGGAAGAACGCAGCCTTGTCGTTTTGAGTGCCAAAAAGGAACACCTACCGCTCGCGAGCGTCGGCAATGTGAATAATACCGGTAAAATGAGCGGCCCCGTACCCTTGATCACATGGTCATGGCGATTTGGGCCTGCATGATTGCCGCTTTGGCGAGTGCGCTTGGGGGAAAGGATCCTTGCAGACGGAACATGTCCCAAGGCGTGATTCGGTCCCTGGCCTGGGGGCTCTGTTTTTTTGAGTTGGCTGTCTCAAGGTTCGACAGCGGCAGGTGGGTTTAAGGTGGTTCAGGGCCAAGAATTCTTCGCAGGCACCCACAAAAATCTGCAAAAGATTACCCCCCCCCATTGGAGACGCAACATGACAGCTGCATAAACCAGGAACACAACAGGGAAATCACAACGATAGCAAAAGCTAATGAGAATACAAGCTTCCGCGATGCCACTTCGTAGTTTTAATAATTGCCCCAAACCGTGAAAAAACAAAAAAACAGAAACTGGACATCTCTTACAGCTTGCTTAAGCCTAATAAGTTGAACAGCTCACACAGGGCGCACTACAAGCCCCATTTGCATAGCCTCAAGTGATTTAACACCAAAACAAACAATACAAACAGCAAGCGCAACTCCTTGCTTTCATTTCTTGCGGCCAGATCGGCCTTGGGGTGGTGAGGACCGGAGACTTCAAAACGAAACGCGACCCCAGCCTTCGCCTTGAGCCCGACCACCTGCCGCTGCCTGACCGTTGCCCAAAACGTCAAGTGGTTGCCGGAAGTTTGCCAAGGCTGGTGGAGTGGAAGCCCCGCGGACTTTTGCGCGATTTGGTGTGTTCAGACTTATGATGGCACAAGTTTGCACATGTGGTTCTTCGTCATAGAAGCATGTAAGCAGATTGAATGTCTGTGCAAATGCCCTCCAACAAGCACACGTGCAAATGCAAAAGTACAACTTGACAGGGCTTACAACCACTTCCGAGGAAAAGCGGTTTCCGCGAGCCAATTTGATGGGAATGCAGCATCAACCATGAAAAATGAACGTTCAGCCCCTTGGCAGAAAGGTATTGTGTGGTGTTCCCTTATTTAGCCTGAAAATGCCACCCGAATCTCATGCTGGAACCCACAAATGTGGCAGACGCCACGCCTGGGCTTGATCATGTCATCCGACGCCCGCCATGGCCCCCCCAGAAACACCGGCCATTGCTTGAGCCTGAGGTTTACCATCAGCGCAGCCACACGCGGGGGATGCATAGCTGCCCTCTGTCCAAATCGGAAAGGCTCCGGGCAACCTGGTTTGCAACCAGCACTCGCACACCTACAAGCGATCAACTGACAACCCCGGAGGTGTTTTGAACCGTCATGTACCTCGAGTCGAAGCGTCGCTTCGCTTTCGCTTTGACTCATTGCGAGGAATGATGTTGACCCCTGACTCAGACCGAGGCAAACTGACAAGGACACATCCAAAAAACACTTCTCAAGGCCACCCAGCAGTTGGATGCATCCGTAGCGGGGCAGCCAAAAACGAGCGACCCCCTCCCCGCACTGGCGAGCTGCTCTGAGCTGGCCTGAAGTCGGGAGCCACCCAAGAAAAAAACAAACGCACACACACACACACACAGGTGCCAAGTGACAAACGCCTGGGCAAAAAAAACATGTATTGATAAGAATCGCTCGAATGCCGAATGACCTAATGTATAAAGCTGCCATCACCAAGTAACACATCAACGGCTTGACCCCTCATTTGTCTGCGGAAGTTGGTTGGTAGAGGCATCCTTGTCGAAACCTGTCTGTACAGTCAAAGATGCTCTCAGAGGCGCGCACAAGTGGAGACAAGCCGGAGCTGGACCGAAAGATTGAAAACTAGGATCTGCCTTCACATAGGGCCAACAGGGAACCCCCTTGGAATTCCTTTCAAACCGACCATTTTAAAAAGGGCACCCTCAAAAGCAAACGCGTCCCCGTGGTAAGTTTCGGTGGGGATGAGGGCATGTGTCATGCCTCGCATGTGGCCTGGGCTCATGCACAGCTCTCGGCCTTCCAAGTGCGCAGCGCAGCGTGCCAGCGGCACATAGGCTACATCAGGGGGCTGGATGCGCAGATACCTCCTTGCCCGGCTCCTAGACAAGTCATTCGAAAGAGCCTAGGTTAAACAGCGTGCAGGTGGCGCTCTACAAGGTTCGGCTGGCTGGCTGGCTGGTTGCCTGGAATGCCTGCATGCTGACGATTCTGGCGTGAGAAACTGTCCTTGCGTGGAAAAGGCCTGTTCAGGGCAATTAAAACAGCACGCCACGAGCCACGAGCGTTGACACATCCACGTTCAAAATGACATCACTCATCGAATCGAAATGATTGCCGGTGTGATACGAAATGATTGCAGGCTGCGCTGTGTCATTTACTCGCCGATTGTACAGGACGCTTTGAGCGTGGCACGGCAGCGGTGTCGCAGCACTGGACAACTGATCACATTGGGTGCCTCCGAGTCAGAGACACCATCTTTCCAAAAAAGAGAGCAGTCCAAACATCGGCGACGTCCTTTTTCAATGCTGGAGATGTTGAACGACTTCCCCTTGCATCCGATGAGTCATCACGCGACCGATCTGCAATCTTCAGTTGGGCAAACAACGCAACAAGACCTCTGCCCCCAAACCCACCTAGCAACGACTCTCCCTTTAGCAAGCTTAAAAACTGACAGAAGGGCGTTGGGCGCCCGACAGGTTGCAATGGTTTGTGGTTTGGGCCGTGCGGTGCGTGGCTTTGGAGGGTTGCTCTTCTTCCTAAGAAATGGATTGCTCCTGTTGGAAAACATGAGAGTCAGTGGGGAACTTTTGACTAAAAGCTGAGTGAAAGCCGGAAAACGCCGTGAACGATGCTATGGTTCGTTCCCACTGTCACCCCCGTGCATCTGTGTCTAACTGTAAAGGAAGGTTCCTTTGGCGTACTTCGCTCCTTAGCCTGTCCTGCTGATCTGTAACCCGAGCATCTTCTCTTCTTGCGAGAAATCCTCACCCCAGGCAGGATAAGTTACACTCGTTGAGGGGGCGTGGGTGCCGGAGACGGTGGTACCCATTAGGACAAACCAATCTCCGCTTTACAATATCTGTTAATTACATCATATTACATCCCTAAATCGCTTTGGACAAGACATCCTGCGCGTATACTGCCCTTGGTCCCGCTTTACCGTTCTCCAACCTCGGGGGCTCGCAAAACAACATCTGCACATTGTCCGAAAGCACTGACTTCGAGGGACACCTTCCTTTGCGGGGCGAAAAACGAAAACACCTAAGGGGGCACAGGCACGACTTTGCCTGCTCTTCGCCCCGCTTTCGCTTTCCGGGCAAGGCGCAGCCGACCCATCCGGCCCTTTGGGTGGCCGGCGCTTCATGGTTTCTTCCGCGTCAAACCTGACGCTGCCAGGATCGGGATTCTCAAAATAGGCGACTCCCTACAGGGAACAATTGGCTTCTCCTCGGTTCCCTTGAAAACAACCCATGAGGGTACTAGGCCCAAGTACAAAGCTTCACCTCCTGGAACCTTGACTCTGGACCAAACTAGGGAAACGCCGGCCAGCAATTGGTCCAGTTCGGGCTCGGACCTGCAAAAACTTTCAAGGCTGGAGCTTTGGTGGCCAGAAAAAGGGCCCCATGCTTGGCTGGTTGACGGGAAAAGCACTCAGAACAAGAGAAAAAGGGACTTTGAACATGGAGGACTGGCGCTCTTCAGGATTGGAAACTGTGCAATTACTCAAGCAAATGACACCGGACTGCAGGCGAGTCTCTCACCAGAAAGCAAATCAGGCTATGGACAAAAAGGAAGAGGTCCATACCAGCTGAGTGGTAGTTGCTGTTGATTAAACAATAGCATTCCACACCCTTCTCACTTGCCAAAAGACGAAAACACCAAAGGTTAGCCGATGTTAGTCACGTGGCACAATGAAACGGCTCATGAAACAGGATCAAAGAAGCAGGGTGGAATTTGGGTGTGTCTTTTGACCCCTGACATGTGGGAAAGCAAAGTGGCCCTATTTCAAAGGATCCCTTTCCCAGTGTGAAGGGGCAAAGCCCCCCCCCGTACCCAACCCCAGGGCTCCAAAAGCCACAGTTGCTTTGGTTCCAGCCACTCAGGACGACATACAAGCATCACAAGTTCGAGAGGTTCGTGCTTGGAACCAGTCAAAAAAAATCCCAGTTACTTGCTCCACAGCACACCGTTGAAGCAAAAAGAGTCTTGCCGCCGGGGCGCATATGTTGAATGTAGCCCCTCCCTTAAGCACATGGGCGCCCTTGTCATAAGGGTGCTATTTGCTGCCATCAATTGAATAGAACAACGGTCTACAACAACATGGTAAGCTGCCGAATTGCATAGCGCGCCAAGCTAAATGATCTACGCATTTCTTCTTGTTCAGGGCAAGGCGCCTTCCACTTCAACTTGACATTCCTGACAATAAATGGTTCATCCTTGTCATCTTGAGATCTGAAGCTGTGTTGCTTGTTCATTGTTCCTCTGCTTCAAAAGCAGGCAATAAGTAAACGGGACTCAGCCTCGCGCTTGGAAAAGCAAATGAGGAACACAAACTGCTTGCGACCCATGCTGGGTGTCTGGTATGCGCTCATAGGCCCCTGCCAACAAGTTAACGTTTGCTGCTTGAAAGTGAAATTAAAGGAAGCCCGAACGGATAAGAGGCAAGTCTGGAAATGGTTCTCTGGCCTGAACTGGTTTGAAAGTGGGCACGTTGAACGCACAGGTCACAGGTCTCGCGCTGAATTGAGCCCATCCGGCCTGCCTGTAGGTTAAAAGTTAAAAGTAAAAGGGTGTAGGGAGCAGGTCTCAAGAGAGAGTTCTCAACAAATCCATGCCAGAAAGAGAAGCAAAAACACCTCCTTTGCAGGAAATCCACAAACATGGAAATATGAAGACCTTGGCATGTGTTTGGATGGATAGGAACAAAAAAACAGAAAGAAGTATTTCTGACCAAACTGAGCTGAAAAGGACACCTATGGTGGCAAACTCAAAGCAACCCACTTAGAATCTGACAAGCTTTTTCCCGCCTTTGGGCGCTAGGCTTCGGCGGGGCTTAGAAACTCGCAGCACGTCTCCCGTCTCCCGGCGCCGTTCGTCCTGTATAGCTGTCACACTGTTGAAGGTGGAAACAATCAACTGAGTGGCACATGGATGAAGCTAGGCCCTGTGCAGTGTACCTTGTGTTTCTTTGGTTGGCTGCTAAATGGGCCGGCAAAGTGAACAATCATCCATCTTCCCTTCGGGGCGAATCCTATGCGTCTTGAAGGGTCAAATAGTTTCTTGACACTGACCAACTCATTGAACATCAAGTCCTGTTGTTTTCCAGGAAACCTATGCTTGTGCGAAAGCACGATGCCAAATAACATTGATTTCCGTCATGAGATATTGTCTGGAAAACTTGCGGAGCTCTCTCAGTAGTAGCCGTTGTGGGGCTTGTAGGGGCTTCCCGCGTTGTCATAGTCCTCAATCCAGCGGATCTCAGTGAACTCCCGGCCAATGTACTCCTTCATCTTTGCCCTGAGATCCTCCTGCTGCTGCTTCCAAATGGGCAGGAAGTCTTCGTTGCGGATCGGGTAGGTGCCATCCGTGGTGTCCGGAATGCTGGGGTCCGGGTTGGGCCAGTCGATCTTGAACTTGCGGAAGACGCCCGCGCCGGTGCTCGGTTTGGAGTACTTAGGGTCCTGGCTCAAGCTTTGGCTTGGAGGTCTGGGGTGCCGAGTTCGCATCAAATGGGTCATCCCTATCCAAAACTGAGGCAACATCTGATAAGATTAGATCAATGAAGTGATCCAACGAGGCCCACCCCCAGGATCCAGAAGCAATTCACCGGTTGATCCCTTGCATTGCGTGCCTCTCCTCTGAGAATCGGATACTCGGTCGCTCGTACATGCATGTGAATCCATGTTTCTACTCTCCGAGCATTCGCTCGACATGCTTGACAGATGCACAAGCTCACACTTTGCCTTGGCCTCGTGGTATGTTCCTGCGCCTCCCCGGCTTGAGCCCACCAGTGAACGATCAAAAGAAGGACTGGACAGGAGCGGGAAAGCGAGAGCACCCCCAATCGCTGCCAGTCCTGGTGTATATTGAGGGATATCCCAAGCGGACATTCACTTGGAAGAACAACAGCTCCCATTCGTCTACTTGGGAAAAGGCGACTCAACGCATCACATCAACTACAGTCCTTGCCATCAGTTTCCTGGTTGTACTTCCTGTAGTATGCCTGCACGGGCTTGCGTGGCCCACGTCAGGAACGAAGCCGCGCAACTGATACATCAAGCGGCCAGACCAAGCATAAACCCACCACACAATGCACACAACCAAACATAAACCAACCACACACCCAAGCATAAACCAACCACACACCAAGCATGACCCAGCCAAGGATTTTGTTTGTGCCCCCCAAAAAACCTGCGCTGAACGAACGGTGCGCAGCAACACAAGCGCCACATCTGGCGCTACATGCTGCGCCAGCGACCAACCGGCCGGGCCTTGGCCCAGGCAAACTGCTGCTCCTTGGTGGTGCAGTCCACCCGGATGTCGCATCCTTTCCTGGGATGCCATGAAATTCCATTTTCTTATAGTTAAACAACAATCCCTGCGTGTTTTTGTTCAGGGGACCTATCACTGTTGGACACATTTTGTAATTCCCCTCGCAAACCTTCAGACCCAAAGCAAATATGGGCGTATTGATTTGAAGGGGATGGGGTCATGTGGGAAAACCTCCCAAGGCCGAAAGGTCGACTCGGCAAGTGGGTATGGGTCAAAACTAGGCCACCTGGGGCATTTCGGGTACCTATTTTTGACCCACAGCCAAGTCTCGCCAGGATCTCTTCGTCCGACGGCCCCGCGGGCGCTGCTTTCTCCGCCGGGGTGGGCGCCGGCGCCGGCGTGGGCGCGGGCGCCTCCTCCGCGCGGACCGGGGCCACGGCTGTGGTCAAAGAGAAGAGGAGGCCCAGAGCGACGCCTGCCGGAAACCCGCCAAGTGCCACCTTCACACAAAAAGCACTTGAGGTACATGTTTGGTCGGGGACGCTGGGACACCATCTGAAGCTATCGCTACCACCACGGTTTGTGGAACATGGGCCCCTTTCTGAGATAAAGCGGTTGCTCCCCACTTTATGACCCGCAGCCCGTGCAAGCCGCCTCCGAGCACTGCTGGCACAGCTGCCCAGCCCTCCGCACTCGCGTCGCTTGGGCCCGGCGCCTGCGCCAAGGCCTGGCAAATGGAACAAAGCAAATCGGCTGAATTAGCCCTACCCAAAACCAAAAATCAAAACACGAAACAAACAAAAACAACCAAAACACAACACTCAAACCCCCGGTTTTTCTTGACAACCGGAGGTCTGGGCGATTTGCGCGCCAACCATGGCTTCAGCTACCGAATAGTTTTCCACCCCACCAATATGGTCTTCCAGTGGCCTCCGGTCAGGGTCCAGGCAGGTGGATGGGAGGGTAGCCAATTGCTTGATTTTCTGTGTTTTGGGAGATGTTTGTAATGTTGTCTCCTCTGCTGTTCCAGTGTATTCCAATGTTTCCAAAAGTAAATAACACCTGAAGACAACCAAAACACAGAACAATAACAATGATAACAACAAAATTAATCATAATGATAACAATAACGACGAACCAATTCTCAAACAGTTCTGTCATTGGATCAAGCCTAAAAACCAAACCGCCTCCAAAACACACAACACACACACACACAAAGAACAACAACAGTCCACTGTTTCAAGAGATAGCCACTCACATCCACTCACTGTGCCAAGAGTGTCGCCGCATGATTTTAATCAGAATCCCTGCCTGGTCATAAAGGTCCTTCTGATAATAAGAGTTGCTTTCCAAAATCGGGGGGGGGGGGGGGGGAATACTACGTTTGGAGTTGCCAAGTTGAAGCCAATACTCCAGTGATTTCACCGACCAACCCCAACTTCAGACGTATTGGGTGTCCGTGGAACACCACCCGATTTCTTTCAAATCTACAGGTTCCACACCCCAACTCGAACTGTTCCAATCCTTTACTTGACAGTTGCATCTTTTATGATTTTTGGTTGGGGGCCAAACAGAAAGGCAAGGAGTCGTTTTCCAAAGAACCCCTTGTTCAAACAAATGAGCACGAAGCTGCCGGCTTGCTGGCTAGCCGAGTGCGACCTGCCTGCCTGCACGCTTCAAATGTGCACTGACCTGCCTGCCTGCCTATTCTTAATTCAGTACCCTAGTTGAAGCAAAAGAGAGGATAAACTTGCATCCTGTAAGCTTAGTTTGTCCAGGGAAGGTGCTACAGCCAAAGCCAGTCTCTGGCACAACAGAACTCAGAACCAGGCCCGCAAACTAAACAATATCAAACATGCGGAGTTTTCTGCTTTTCTGGGAGGACGTTGTTTTCATTGGGGCGGTCCCTTTGCTAGTTAGGAAAGGCAAAATTAGAGCCCTGTTTCGAATCGTCTTCGGCGAAGTTGCCCTGCAGCATCAATCAAGCAAATAATGTAACCACCCAAACCGGGTCCCTCAAACGGCGGCTTCCTTTTCATCCGGGCCGCTCGTGGCGCTTCCGGGGCGACACGGCCAGGCAGCGCCCCGGGCACGAAGGCCACGGAGGCAACCCCGCCGGCCGCGAGGAGGAGGAGGCCGCGCATGGCGCAGGACGCTTGGCGCGAGAAGCGGAGGACGGGACGACGGCGCGGTCTTGGGCCGAGGCAAATGGGAACTGGTCAAAATCCCGGTTACCCTCCCACTCCCGACTAAAATAGACTAAAAAGGGTGGTGAAAGCTTCAATTGGGCGAACTGAAAGGGGGACACGGCTTTGTCGGGGGGTCGGTTTGATTAAATGTCCTGTTTTGGGTACCCCACACGAGGGCTGGTTAAAAGGGGGTTTCCCTGACGGAAGCCCCGCCCAGTTCAAGAACTCCCCTATCCTCATCCGCCACATATCAAGGAACAGCATGCACCGATACTGGCACCCTGAGTTGCGCATTTCCAAGGCTTGATAGCTCCCAGCAAATTCCCCCCCCAAAAAAAAAATGTTGCTAGGCCCTAGGCAATTTGCGCTACATGGGATTCAGTAACTTCACCCACTCTCAACATACCTCGGCGTGTGCTTTGTCCCACGCGAGCCCAGCTGAGGGCTCAAATGCTTAACTGTGACCAAGTCCTTCGGCACCTCTAGGTCCTCCAGATTTGAGAGGTTAGAATGAGTTGGTACCCACCCTTTTTTTCAGAACGTCCATTTTAGTAGGGGGAACCCTCCCCCCAAAAAGGGTAGAAGGGCACTACTGGGGGACCTAGACCTTCTCAGTGAGAGTTTTATACGGGCAATGGTCAGCTGGTGTGCAATCAAGCGCCTCCAACTGAAAAATCCAGCTCCGTGCGGCGGATTGCTGCGACTGCCATGCAAGCGTTGGAGCATGGCGCCTTTCTGATGCCACGGCTGGGGCTGTCCAACGATGATATTCTTGTACTAAAGCAGTAGTCATCCGCCGTGTGACCACTTTTTCTGCAATGCGCTGGTGGTGCTAGGGGCGTCGACCATCTAGATAATTATGGCGTCATCTGCGTTTAGCAAGAGGAAAAGCTCTTCCTGGCTTCCTCGCGCGCCGCCCCCAAAGGGTTCAGGGTTACAGTTGTTCATTCTTCACATTTCCTGGGAGAGTGCCACGTGAGTGGAATTCGGTGAAAACCCCGATTCCATTTCAGGTTGCTTCCCAAGGTGCCCCCGACATCACCGTCTCATCCCCGCCCGCCTTTCAGCCAGCACCTGCGTTCCAAGTGGCCGCAAAAGGGCGTGACTCCGGATGGGATGCGCTCGAAACGGCAGTTTTCCCGTTGGATTTCCTTCAAACAACCCTAAAATGGGTAGGCCCACACAAAAAGAAGAACCCCCAAACAGCCACGTGGCAATCGCCCGATGCAACACGGTCTCGGATTTTTTGCCATCGGCAAACCAAAAGCTGCTGTGACGAAAGGTGTCACGATGGCTTGCCACGTGTGGCCTTACATTATTTTGAGGTTCACCAGTCAAGCCAAATCCAGCTGCCACACAGCTACCGGGTTTTCGGGAGATGGGTCTAAGGAAGCTCCGTGTTTGTTTTGTGGTGGCCCGCTGGGTTGTGGAGTCAACACTAAGCATGACCAGAACTGACAAAATGGCCAAAATGCTGGCAACCCATGGCGAAGCACTGGCGAGAGCGCGAAGCGGGCGCATGTTCCGGGGAGCTTCCATGGCCTCAGCTTGAGTGTCCGCTTCAAATTGTGCATCGGTGTGTGTGTGTGGCTTGCTACTGTTCGGGCCCATCCCGCATTGTGTTCTTCGTTGCGCAATGTGTAAACTTTTTCACCTGGAGCAACGAATCAGGGCTAGCTCTCATTTGGCAATGCTCAAGTGGGGCTGGGCAGGAGGTGCTCTGCGTAATGGGAACCCAGGATTAAATTAACCAACCCTCGGTTGATTCGCTAACCGTCCCATTTGAGAGAAGAAGCTTGATTTGTTGATAGGTGACCCCCCCAGAACAATCCACCAGGCGGATGCATCCAACAGGTTTGGTTGACGTCCCGCCTGCGCCGACTTCTTGGATGATGGCCGCTTCTCCTGGCATCGCCAAGACTGGGTGCCATTAGTACCCCGGGCAACGCTAGCCTTTCTTGCAAAGAAGAGAAGCCGCCAAACCCAGCAAAACAACTTACTTGATTTGAGGGAGTCACTTGCAAACATGCTTCTCCTGCCACATTGACCTATTGCGGTATTTCTTGAGTGCTATGAAAAAAGGCCATTGCAACAATGGAGTTGTGCCCAAATTGGGAAACCCTGGAATTGGTGAGTTCTGTTTTGCATCCCTTCAAAACAAGCACCAACACGTGGCATCCTCGCAAAAAGGAATCACATCCCCATGCTGCTTGTATCTTCGTCTCTGGGCCTTCAAAGGTCCCAAAGAATAGTCGAGGCTCAATGTACGTGCGACTGCCGTATGAACCAGGAAACTCTGCTGCCAAATTCCGGGGAACCGGTTGCACACGTGAACCCGCAAGACCCATGACACACATTATCCAGACCCAAGAACAATAACAAGCATAGGAACATGGTGCAGTGCACACAGCTTTTCCGAGTTTGGCCAGGTTAGGAGTGCCGAAGCAACCTTGTGCCTCCGGATTCTGCAGAGCAGTCAATGCCTTGCCTGGAGAACAAGCTGGCCAGTGTCCACTTTCGATTCAAAACGGGCATGTCGAACCTATGGAAGCTGGCCCCGCCTTTGGGGCCTTGATTAGGGGATTCCTCGGCTGCTAAAACATCAAGTCAACCTCACTTGCTCAGCGAAAAGGAATACTTCTTGCCTGTAAACAGGCATGAGAAGCCAACCTCGCAACAACTGGATGCCCGAATGTTTTTTCTGGAAGGCTCAAAGATCCAGCATGTGTTTGTTGCTTGGCTTCGGGTGTCACACAGCGGGTCTGGAAAAGAGAAAGCAGGCGCACTTTGCTTCCTTCTGTTAGTGAAACAACAAATCACCTAATTGGCACACAGCCTAGAACTTGGGGGTAGGTATCTGGCCAATTTCTGTGCAGAATTTCCTGCGGCGGGTGCTCATAACTCATCTGTTGGCTGACAAGGCAAGGGCCGCGCGGAGGGAAGGGGCACTCGCCGCGGGTGAAGGAAAACACCGGCCAAGGCGTGAGCGACTTTCGCCGAAGCCGCCCCGCCTCTAGCCGCCCGGGGCGAGGCATGCAGAAACTATACGGGACCCTCCTTGGTGGCTTAAAGCCAAAGCCCTGGCTTGGCCATTGGAATTATTGACAGGTATTCAGCACTCATCCAGGTTGGACAGAAACCGCCAAGTGGGGGTTGTCTGAAAGGGCGGGGTACCAGCAATCGGCCAACGGCCAGATTCCGAGCCCGCCAGTTCAGGCGCAAGCGGCCTGCATCATTGCTTTTGCAATCCGAAGCCACTGCGGTCACATGATTTGACATGACCGGAGGGGAAAAATACAAGCGATAGGAGCTTTGACCGCGGTGAAGTGAACTGAACTGGACTATGTCAACTAAGCGCAAAGAAACGCACGCCCCCTCTTTAGGTTCAGAGCTTGCCTTTTAAGCCCCTTACAGGCCGGCGTAACAATCAATCGTGTTCAGGCACCTCCCGAAAGAGTGGACACTTTCTAAACAAACAAAAGGCTATGCAGGGCCACACTGGTCCTGGTAAAAGGTGCTTTCCCCCCAGCACATAAGACTCCTGCACTGACAGGGGTCAACCCACGCTAGGCTTCGAAGATCCTGAGTAACGGATAAATTTAGAATGACCACCAGAAACCGATAGGGGCTCACCTAGTCGGTACCTACCGTGCAAAGCCGATGGGGCACATCGCTGGCATGACCCTGAAGCGGGTTGCCAGACCTGATTGCCCTAACCCAACTAAACAAAACAGCACGGGGAATCGAAAAGAAGCCAAGAGCTCCATTCGCTGAACTGCGGAATGCTGAGCCGATCTCGTCAACAGAGATGGGCCTCACACTGGCTGATAGGTGTAGGTAGGCTGATAGGTGTAGGTGGGCATGGCAGGCATGGCGGGCATGACCGGCATGGCAGGCACGGCAGGCGTCACCTGATACGTGGCAGGGTAGTACCTCAGCAGGCTGAGCGCCGTGCGGCGAGCTGCAAACACGCTCTCTTAAACCTACCGGGTTCCTCATTGCCATGGTGAAACAAAGAACCAGGGCAAATGGCCCACTCGCAGACCAGCTTTGGGCTACCCCTTGTTAACTATGATTAAAACCGTGTTATTGTAACATCATACCATCCTCAGCTAGGTTGCCTTCAATAGATCCGGGGTCCAGCAACCTTGAAAAACAGAGCCGTCTCTCAATGCCCCTTACAGCCCTTCACTCAGGCTGCCGTCTGTGCGCGTGCTTAAGCACGTTGGTTCTGTGAGTCTCTTTCGTCAGGCTGGAAAATGCACAAACACCCGGAGGAACCCCAAACATGTTCTGACCCTGGCACGGGGGAAAAACAAAAAACGCAGACAAAAATCCCGAAGCCTTCAACCTTGCACCTTTCGCACGAAGAAAGCCACGCTTGACTTCCTCAGCATCGCAAGGACACCAAGCACAAGGCATAGTGTCAGTCTTAGACAAGCGCCGCCGCCTGTTTCGGCGCTGGCTGACGTTTGGAAGAAACACGTTCGCGAGCTAGATTCTGCCAAGGCAGTTCTCTGTGCATCAGTGAGTTGTACGGCCGCTGAGCTTGTATCAGTGCATAGATGGGGGAAAACTAGTTGGGAATATGTTATAGCTTAAAAACAGGTCGTAGATGTATAGTTTGTAGATTTGCATCGCTTCAAATGCTCGCTGTGTGGCGTTTCTGCTTCAAAGAAACCTTTCACACAGGCCCTGGATCCGCATGCTTCGTTCTGAGCGCGCGCGCATGGATAAGTCTTCGGGCTGCTGGCTCTCAAACAGTTGAGAGAGTTTGCATCGGCCAAGTAGTTGGTCACATTGCAAAATCTAGAGGACTGGACATTCCACTGTTGCAGGGAAGGCGAAGGCGCTGTGCACCTGAGCGTGTCAGCGAGCAGACAATGTAGTTGGAAAAAAAATCCCTGGCCAAGGCCTTGCGAACAAGCCTTTGCTGCGCATCTTGCTGACCACGCTGCTGGGGCTGCGGCTGCAACTCCGGCGAGTAGTGCCTTGCATGCATTAGGGACAGGCAGTTGAACATGCAGATTCCCATCAACACTTTGGCAGTCAGCTCGCCAATTTTTGCCCCCTGCCCTCACGGCTTCACTTTGCACCCCTTGCAGCTAGTGGCTGGAGCACCCCGGCCGGCGCCAGCTGCGGCTCAGCCAGCAGCGGGCCGCTGACGCCGGGCGCGCTGACGCCGGCGCTAGAGCTGACGGGAGCTGGCCCCGCCACCTGGAGTCGGTTTGCCCTAAAGCGGTTGGTTTCGTTATATATAAGCGCATTCACTACCTACAAAAATTGGGCCTACCATTTGACATATAAGCGCACTTTTAGTGAACAAGCTCAAAGCAGTTGCCCCACCATCAAGCTCGCCAAGCGTTCGCCAGTCAGCGTTGTTTGTTGCTTGTTGCTTCCAACGAATTCTCATCATCTGATGTGCAGACTCATGCCACTTTGGCTTCAACGCGAAACTCCAAAAACTCCTGAGCAGCCTGAGCATCATACAGGTCATCTGTCAATCCGAAAGGGCTGGGAGGGTCAAGCTCAGTTCCTGCGAGACAGTACCCCTTAGTAACTTCACTCAAACATCACCAAAGGCGGCGTGAATGAAGAGCACCTTCCTGCCACAAGGGGGCTGGGGACTTCGTCGAACCCTGGTAATACGACACAGAAATAAACAAACGCGTATATGACCGTACATGACTCATGCCACTGGCTTAAGTAAACAATTCACCCGCTCAAAACAGCCTCCCTATAAAAGGAATCTTACTGGTTACGTCCCCCCTTGTCACAGGTCGCTGCAACTTGCCCGAACGAAAACATTTGGAGCCCGAAGCACAGCTTGCGGCTCTGCGAGCCCACCGAGAAAAAGCGCAGGCGGTGCCTCAGCCTTGCGGGTCTTCTTCGTCTTTTTCCTCGGCTGGAAACTGAACAGCAAAGCGCGCTCAATTCCAAACGTTTGATTTCCGATGTGTTGCAAGCAAACCATCGACACACCAGTGTGAACTACAGGGTGTCCCGTGTTCCGTTCATTCAAGGAGTTGGACACTTCCGAAATGGACCATTTCACACTCCTAAGAGCCATGACAAAAAGTAGACCGAAACTGGAAAGCTCGTCGATTCCTCTGGGACAACCGAGGTCTTCTATGGGGCTGGGATCAATGGCTCGAAGGAAGCAAATGAGTCGGGATTCCCCTGAAACAAGCGAGGTCCGTCAGTGGGGCTGAGATCAATGGCTCGAAAGAAGCAAGCAAAGGATCTGGTTTGCCCCAACCATTCATCTAACCGGTGACTTTCTGGGCCAAAGAGTCACCCCAATCTCACCGTTATTCAATGGCCAGTCACAGAAAATGGCCAGCTACAACATTTGTTCCACGTCCCTATGGCTCCAGTCCGGGCGTCGCCTTGCCCTCGCTGACTACAACCATGCCCCCAGCCAGGGCCGCGGCAGCGCCGCCGCCCAGCAGCGCCCAAACCCTCAGATCGCGGCAGCCAGCAGATCCCACAAGGCGGGGGGAGGGGGGGGGAGGGTGGGGGGAGGGTGGGGGGGAGGGGACACTCACTCCCAAGTTGACTGGCCAAAAAAAGTCTGAACTTTTTATTTACCACTAAAATAGTATTCCCAAAAAGTTTGAACTCAGGGAGTGGCAAAAGGGGGATGGTGGCAAAAGGGTGGGGGGGTGGCAAAGATTCCCCATTTTCTTTAAACCCAAAGGAAAATCAATCAACATTGGCAGCCAAAAGGCGATGTTTAAACCAGCCGAAAAGGCTTCAGACCATCCCCGAAAGCGCCCGCCCTCCTGTGTTGATACCCCACGATGCCAGTTCGAAACAACAAATCAAGACTAGGGAGGAAACTAAATTAAGAACGGGCTTTCAGAATCTTTCTGGGGTCAGAGCGCCCTCTTAAAGACAGAGTGGATGAAGCTGAATGAAAGGCTTGAGAGCAAGGACGTCCAACTCCATCCCGTCTTTGCACCACACAATTCCCACACACTACCTCATGCTGCTTTGCTTGAATCAAGCGAACGACAAATATACTTGTGTGGCCCACGCACCGCGCTTGGGGTCAAACGTCCGCGCCAATCTTGAGCGCCCCTCCGCAACGGCAAGACAACAAGAGACTCAAGGCTTTGGCTTCCGCAGGGGTGTCATCGACACATCTTGTGCTAACATCCCTTTCTTCACGCAACCCATTGCCTCACATTTATTGCACGACCGCCAGCAACAATTTGGGGGCTGGGGAAAAGGGAGGGGAGGGGGAGGGAGCCCAAATAAGCCCTAAATAAGGCCTTAATAAGGGCTCAATAAGGGTTTTTTGGGGCTCCCTCCCCCTCCCCTCCCTCCCCCCAGCCCCCATGAAACCAGATGCATCTCAAGACAAAGGCCCCCTTTTCCAGACGAACGTAAACGAGCACGCCGCCCCAAAATAAGTGACCCCAACGAAGGAACACGAGAAGATTCCTCAAGGAAATAAGAGTTGGCAATCTCATTTTCTCGGACTGACTTTCGAAAGTGAGAAGGTTCGCTGAGATCTCACAAGTGAGCGGGAGCGAGGGCACTGCAAGACACATTCAGGGCTGAATACGCAAGTAGTCAGCTCCTCAAACTATTTTTGCGGGGGTCATTAGGTTCCCAGAAGAAGCTGCCATGGCTACAAGTGCATTCCAAAGCAAGTACCACTTGCCGAGCTCCGCAAAAAGAAGAAAACAAAAATGGGCGCCTCTCCATTCATTGGGTCACGGCCAAGGCGCATGCTGTTGTCCCCCGACGGGGCCGCCGCCGCTACGGGGCCTGCCCCCAGGTCTTCCTGAAACTCCTTCGCCGCAATCGCAGCGCACCTGAAGGCCGTTGGTTGACCATGACCTGCAAATATATCTGAAGTTCGCCGCGCAAAGCTCGGCTTCAGCCTTGCATTTCCGAGGGGGGGAACATGGCATGGGGGTGGGGATCCTGGTAATTTGCTCACAACCTTGGCTGAAGTGGACGACATGTATACTGTAGAGTACATTATTCACGAAGGTTGTTCACGTACTAAGTGACTAAGTGGGACGGTGATCCAAGCGCAACAATCCATACATACGGTGGATGCCCCAACAACTCCAAGTAGGAAGGCCAATGGAAAAAACGGAACCTGTTCGGTGATGTACCACGGTCTGTTGGATGTGGTTCGTTAAGTTGCAACATTTCAGGCCTATTGCAATTGAACAAACCATGCTCAACCAGAGAACCATGGTGAATGAGGGAAACTTGGAGGGGTGTCCCTGCTCCCGTCCACCATTTTTACCAACTCAATCTAAGGAGCCCCTTCTTTCCGCTGGAGGCTTTTGGATCTGCCACCTCGGTGACATCTGCTGCCTTCATCAGCCAGCAGCCACCGGTGGGCACCGTGTCCTACGGAAAAACAAAGGGGCAGCAGGCTGTGTGAAAACTACGGCGGATCCAGGTAGGTGGTTTAACGGTTTGTCACAGAACTTGTTAGGATTTATCAACACATGTGCAACATTATGCCCATCCACACACAGGGCACCTCTTGATGGCTCGGGCTCCAGGAGGGTACAGGGCTCTAGCTTCAAACCTAAATGGATGTTTTCTTCAGCATGGCCACAACAAAAGCGATGATTGAAACAGCTGAACTTTGTATGGCCCAATTGCAGGGTATACCAAAAGCTCCTACCTTAGAATATCTGCGGAGGCTCAGCCAGCAAGCGGTTCGATCCAACCCACTACCCACCCCACCCCCCCACCAGCCACAAGCCCGACAGCTCCTCCTTCCAGGTGAAGACCTCGCAGGTCGCCGAAGCCTCGCAGCTCTTCTTGCACTCCGCCGCGCTGGGCGTCCATGTGGGTGGGGAGGGCAGTGCCGCCTGAAGCGAATCGGCCCTGCCCTCCCTCCCTGCCCTGCCCTGCGCTGCCCTCCCCTGCCCTCCCCTCCCTCCCTCCCTCCCTGCCCTCCCTCTCCATCCCTCCTTCTCCCTCCTTCCTGCTTGAACATGCAGTTCTACGGGTATAGTATACATGAGTTGCTAAATGCATTATCGCATATACTGGTATACTTTGATTTGATGATGCATTTATTCAGTGGCATGCTAAGTTGTGATTATGTGCACACCTGTAAATGCATGCATGACGTTGCCAAAGCATGTCATGTACAAAGCAGGCATGTACGGTATTAAATGTGATGTTGGAAGTTGCTCACCTGTACGCTGCGCGCGTAACAATGCCATAGTCGCACAATGTTGTCTACATATGCGTGTTTATGCAGATATATGTATACATGTGTTTGGCACTTTCCACGCACAACTGATCGGGGACAATCAAAACCAAATACTTCGATACTGTCGCTCATCCGGCTTTGCGTTGCATCTCAATTTCCACATGACATCATTCAACCTTCCGCCGACCATTCCGCGAAGCTTCATGGCTATTCCTGCCTCCGCAGCCAGTTTTGCATATTTTGGGCCGAATGTTTTTGGACATGCAAACCTCCCAGAAAGTTTCCGCGAGGCAAGCCTTTCCGCACACTTTTTGCCAACCTTCTGCGACTGCAGCCCCACACACCATTTGCAAGAATAAAGTTCACCCGCTCTCTTGGTAAAATAAGGATTCAAGAAACACTAATGTTCATGTGGAACACACAGGCCGCCGAGTGAATGAGTGACGTGGCACCACTTTGCATCTTGTTGCGGCAGGCGAGCCATTCAAAAACAATCAGAAGCATAGCAGTGGAGCAACGCAACACGCCTTGCCCGTCAGCAGCCAGGCTCTGAACCAAGGGACATCTCCACGTGCCGCCCGCTTTCCACGCATGTTTGCACTGATCCGGTTGAATGGCACAGGCAGCTCCGAAAATCCCTCTGAGGGGCACGAGGACTGCATGTTGGAAACGCCGTATCCACTTCCGGTGGCTAGCTGTAGAATCAAACCTGCCTTGTTTCCACCAGCATGAAACCCACGAGACCCAGAAGGCGAATGGGACAAAGTCTCACAAAAAGAAAAGAAGAAACCGTGGTCAGATTCTGGATCTTAGTGGGTACCGAGAACAGTCCCAGCGGCGTTCTTGTAGGCCACCTTCGGCTTGAGGCAAGCGCTGGCAATGGTGCCGTGCAAGGTCGCCACCGCGGCGGCCCCTTTGCTGTCCTTGGCCAAAGGGACATGAGGATGAGCTGGCCTTTTGGAATAGATGGCCCTGGTAAATAGGGGGAAAAAACATCTGAAAAAGTGGGAACCAATCTATTTTTGACCAAACTAGCCCAAAAAGGACACTTATGGACATGCGGATGAGCTGGCTGGTGAATAGAAACCTCTAATGTGCTCAGCTGTTCATTGCTGAGAGACAACAAGTGAGCGGCTGTGTGTGTGTGTTGAGGGCGACCGTTTTCGGGTTGAATTTAGCTGAAAGCCACAGTTTTGAGCGCTCACATGACTGGGCTGCCCTCAGATCCCTTGCTAAAGGTTTAGCTTTGAGTGGTTTAAATGGGATTCCCACTAAACCCTAAAAAGCTGAAAAGCTAAGGAACCGGATGGCTGGGAGCTCCCAAGATGAGACCAAACTCGTGGCACTGCCTGCCAAGACCTCGTGACTGCCCTGGGCCCCGGAAGTGGATTGCAAGTTCGGAATTGCCGGAGCTTCGTGGAAGCTTGCCTCTGGAGCTCGCCAGAAAAATAGGCAGATTCTCCCAGGGCTGTGGGAAATGCCCACTTCTGTGATACAAGAAAAAGGTCCCCCAAAGACTACCTCGCCATTTAAAGAGGGGATTCCCTTATATCACAGAAGTGGGGATAAACCCCTTGATCCCACAACCCTGGATTCTCTGATTCTGGCGGCTTGCATGCTTGGAAGGCAGCCGTGGACCCTGAAACTTGGGTTCGTGACGAATATCAAGGACTGGGAACAGTTGGCCCCATGTCATCCCGCAAACAACTCATCTGCCACATTCAGGGCACTGCACCTCGGGCAGGGTGGACCCCTATGCCGTGATTCAAGGCGCGGCATCCTCAGGTTATTCGTTGTGACGAGGCCCAAATCCGACGGGAATCCTTCCGGAAACATCGGCGATACAGGCAAACGATTCAAGCCCAACAGAATCTATGTTCAACGGACACCCCCTACCCGTACATCCCTGCCCTTCAACCCCACCCAAATGCAAGTGCGCCCACTCCTTTCTCCTGGCGGCAAACACCCACAAACGAGGGTGATGAGCGTTCAATACAACCAGCAACCTTGCTTAGGGACTTCAGGATTGTGCAAAATTGGTTCCTTAAATGTGGTTGCTTGAACAGTGATGTACTCATGGTTCAACAACGGTTGAACCGCGCCCAAAAACTCAGCCTGAGCGCCAGCATCTTGCCGAAGGTTTGGCTCCAAGACATGGAAAGGCTGGTATCGCCTGCTGGTTGGTCTGCCAGTGCCACGTCTGGTGTTGGCTTTGGGCTGGCCTTGGCGTAGGCGTCGAAGGTGTGGGTCCAGGCCTTTGGCAGATTGACGTGTCCAGGGTGCGAATTCCAATTCGGGCTTCGGCTCATGCTGTGCAAAGGGGCTAGTCCATGAAGAAACACTCGCTCACTGCTCGGCAACAGTTCTTTCCCAGAAAATGTCAGAAGATCCTGAAGGTACTTCCGAAAGGAGGGAGGCAAACATGAGTTCAGCTTTGTTACCCTTCGGGAAACTGAATTGGCAGCTTGCAATGGAAGTCATGTCAACAAGGGAGCAGTGAATGCACCGCTTCATTAGGGCTAATTCTCAGGAGCATGGTTCTCAGAACAGTGTAGTAAGAGCCCCTTCTAAGCAGGTTCCAAGAAGGGTTGTGGGGGGCTTTGTTTGTTTCCGTCTTCATGCCGTGAAACACTGGGCAATGGAAGCAGTCGTGCACCCTATCACGTACATGCGGGCGATGTTCATCGACTAAAACATCAAGCGGGCCAGTGACAAGGGCCGTTGTCCAATTCTTACCGGCCCTTGAGTTCGGGTGAGCTTTGCCGGCTCGCAGCAGCCCTGTAAGTAGGAATGCTGGCAAAGAGGCCAGGTCTGCATTTTCGGTCACACGCTGCACACTCTTCCACATTCTTGCTTTGATGCCTGTCTTGCTGCGTGGCTTGACCGAATTGGGTTGGCCAAAATGGGTGAGAATCCTTAGTCTCAGTCATTAGTCCGCAAAAAAAATGCAAGGATAACAAAGGAAACCACTGCTTTCGCACAACCCAGTATTCTTTGGAACAGGGATCCTTACATTATACACCTGAACATTGCCTTGTCAATGGTGGTTTCCCCTTATTTTGGTGGAAAAGCCATGTTTCAAATGGGCAGAATGTATCTTTAAGGAGCCCTGCAGAAAACTTGTTCAACGCCAAGGCGCGCGAGAGATGGCAGTGGCGTCGTCCTTCGCAGTAGCATCCGCTAGGGTGTCGGTGAGCTGCTGGGCTTGTGCGCTGGCCGAGTCGCTAGCACTGGCCACAGCCTCAGACAGTTGGTTGGTGGTCTCCTGCCCGGACGATGCGGAGATGACTGGTCAACCTTTACGTGTCTATGATTCAATCACCAACACCTGACACATGAACACCACTCAGAAGTGATGACTAGTCAACCTTTAGTTGTCTATGTGGTGGTTGATCTAAATTCCTTTGTCTCGAAACGGCCATTCTTCGCGAATATAAAAGTTACTTTCGCGAATCTTTCGCGGATTCATCGCCGTGCTCTTTTCATTTCTCGAGTCGGAGAATCGCAGCTTTTAAGTGCCAGCGTTGTAAGCGAACTGACGATTTCCCAACTCCAGCTGTAAAGTCGCAACTTTTTCATCACAGGGGTAGTACATGACACGCGCCGGCTGGAAAGTCGCAGCTTTTCGTTCGCCGCGCAGCTCCAGCTTGAAGTCGCAGATTTCCAGTACCAAGCTAGTATACTGACTAGATCGGCGCTCAGACTATACCCCCCCTTGCAATCGAAGCCTGCGCTTTCGCGCGGGCTTTCGCGGATCTTTCGCGGAAATGTCGCGAAAAATCACCCACGTTTCAGAGCGGAAAGCCACCGACTAACTCCCACAGACACACATACACAGGCTTGGAGCACTAACCAGCCAAGCAGGGTATCAAACTGTAGCCTCACCAGGCTTAATTTGCGCAACATCAACAAAGTGTTTTAATCAGAATAGAAGGAAGGCTCAGCAGAAAAGATGAACGGTTCCACATATCATTGATTAACCAGATACAGTTACGCAAAACTTTCGCGAGAAAAAAAGTTACTTTCGCAACTCCATCGCGAATCTTTCGCGGAGCTAGCTCAACCAACACCGATGGTCACCGAATACTAAACTCCTTACAAGGACCTTTAGAACGACTCCCAGTGTCAATTCCCAAACCTGACACATGAACACCTCTCAGAAGTGCTATGGGAGAAAAGGGGGCACTTTGGCATGCTCATTCTGGATGGACACCCTGCCAAAAAAGGACCAAAACCTCAAGTCAGCTTTGGATAATAAACAAATATGAAGAAAGATGTGATAAACAATGCAACATTAACAATCAAAAAGTATTCCTGTGATGATAAAATTTGCTTCTACCATATATTTACACTAGACATACAAAGGTCATGTTCATATTCCTTCATCCCTTTCTTCATATTATTGTAATTCTATGTTTGGATGTTGAAGAAAAAGGATGAAGACAGAGATTAGTTGCTAGCCTGTGTGATTGCTGCATTGGTGACAGCGGCCACAGCCTGGGTCACTTTCAACCCATAGTGTTCAAATCAGTCCTAATCCATCCGTTGTGCGATGATCATTTTTGTGAAGAGCGAGATGGTAAGATGTTACCAAACTTTCGCCCAGCAGCACCCCGTAGTTGGTTCTCCGTGTCGGTTACAGCGCCAGCCATCTGATCCGTGATCGTGGCTGGCGCGCTTGCAACACCTGAGCAAGAGAGACACGGCCCTCAACTGGGTCAGACTTGGACGTCATGCAATGTGAATCTGCACGGGGGTACAGGAAGTAAACCTTGCTCTGATTGAAAAAGGAAAGTGAAAACGGATTCCGGGCAAAAAGGCAAAGAGGTGTGCTGAGTCTGGCAACGTGAAGGGGGTAGCGCGTGGCATGCTAAGGGCCAAGAACATAGTCGCACTGCCATGTGACAACTGCACACGCTTGCAATCATGGTGGCAAAGTGTCAACATTAAAAACATGTCTGCTTGTTGATGCACCACACGCACCGTTGCCCGTTGAGGTCAAATGTGGAATCATCATTGCACGGGAGATTCAAATCCCCTGCAGCCGTCAAGCAGAGCTCATACAACCACATATTGCACTCCAAGCTGCATTACGCAACTCTTGCCATACACAGCAGGCGAACAAAGCACGAATTGAGCACGCACAAGCCACGAAAGCCCGACCCTTGTGTCAAACCCATCAAAAAGGACTCATTGTTGCCCGGCACGAACAAGCTGGCTGTTACAGTCAATTCCTCCTACCCTGTCGAACTTTTGGAAACTAAGGCAAGCAATCGCCCAAGCTAGACACCCTGCTGGCATTGGTGCCTGGCAATCATGGGGCGTAAAACGTTGTCGTTACACAAACTCCAGGCTTACTCGGCTTACTTCACTGCAGATTAACAGGGATCCAAAATGAGGTTTTCCAAGCAGCTTTACTTAGAAGTGTTCGGTACTTAGAAGTGCTTTGTACGGAGGGTACTAACTCAGCACCAGTTGTGACTGTTTTGTGCGTGACCAACTGAATAGATTCCCTGAGAAGCATGGCGCAACAACTTTCCACAACAGACCTTCTTATAAGTGTGACCGGAAAAGACAGACATCTCGTAGGCGTGAAAACGCTGAAGAAACCTACAAACGAAAGTTCGATCATATGTCCAACTTGACAAGTAAGGCGATGCCCAAAAAAATCAAAGATCCGACCTCCAGAAGACCAGCTGCTAAACACTTTGTCAGATCCTGTCACCTCCATGCAACCCAGTCGCCTGGCTGGCCGACAATTGGCGGCAAGAGGGGGTCCTAGGCAACTGGAGGGTGCGAAGCCACCAATTGAGCCGCACGTCCCCAAAGACCCCCCGCAAGTTACATCTACCCAGAGTGGCTTCATAGGCAAATTAAATTGCTCCAAAGTGTTGAAGCTGGCTTTCGCGCGCCAACATGTCTTAACAACTGAAGGGCTCCTAGCCTGAAAGAACTGTTGTGTGCGTCTGGCCTGTAACCCACACTCGCCCGTACTGCTCAAGAACCCCTGCTGCTGCTCAGAAGCTTGGAAATAGCAGGTTTGCGCGCTTCGTCGCGCAAAGACTCTCTAAAACAGGTCATCCTCCTCTCTGAAACATTCCGAGGGACGAAACCTGGGCCCCAAGAACTGGACCCACTTGATAGTCCCCGAAAAAATGACCCCAACATTGAAGCTTATTGCCCCAAGCCCACTAGCCACTCTTGGGGCTTGGGTCCGACTCTCTGGGTCGGTCGTCCCGCTGAAACATAGCGATGTGTCTTATTGCTATCCAGCATGCTCCGCGTATGCCAACGGTGCTCGATTAACATGTACAGTTGGGTAACAGTAGGTGTCACAACCTCCCCTTCAGGATAAACTTCATTCGATTTTGTCTTGTGGGCTCTAAGGATTGCTCAATGATCCCTGAGGGATGGCTGGACTCCCAGCTTAGTATGGCGTCTGAAAACCGCACGGAAGCCTTAACCCGACCCTCGACCTTGCAAGTCAGAACCCGCCACCGCTTGGGCAATGGGAAGCAAAGGAACGCGGCTGAACGCAAGCAAAGCAAGCCAGCACCGAACCCCGAGCCCAGCCGGGCTGGCAAATCGGCACGCACTGGGCATCCTGGTGTCTTGCGGGCTCTATCTAATCATGTGATTCAACCCAGGTAGCCACCAATGTCAACGGATGCATCCGAAGAACCCTGGACGCCAAGAAAGGGCTCACCCAAAAGGGGACCACAAGAAGGAACGCAGATTCATTGTCCTGGATGGCTATTCGCGCTTGCCCTGTCTATTCACTCTGTTCTACATTTAGAGGTTGTGCACATTACTTCTCCTGAAAACCGCCCTGCCGCCGCCCTGCCGCAAATCTTCCGCGCCATTATGAATCTACACACAAGATCTTTTCAGTTACTGGCCCTTCCGCATCTTTTCCGCCGCCCTTCCACGTCTCTTCTGCGCACAGAAGCTCATGCCATGTAAGCCTGGAAATGCGGAATACTAAAGCGAATACATGGGTTTTAGCACGACGACCATTTGACTTGACACTAAATGACCAAACATCATCTTCACCAATAAGTGCCAGTTTTCATACCACAACGAGCTCGCCACAATTTGCGCAAACAGCACAGGGATTGTTGGTCTGAATCCGATGTTGACACGGTGAATTCCCGACAATGTTGCCAGGGAAAACGATGGGGGATGAAAAAGCGATAACCCCCTCTCCCAACCAGTGCTGTTCCAAAGGGGATCCTCCAAATCAGCTGAAACATGTGATGTTCATGGACCCCCTGTCATGTTCTATGTCGGTTGGTGGGCGGGTGTGCACTGGGCTGCCATCACATCCCCTGCTAAAAGTTGAACTTTTAGTGGTTCAAATGGAAATCCCACTAAACCCTAACAACCTAAACAGCTAAGGAACCGGATGGCTGGGAGCTACCAAGTGTATTCTTTAAACAACCCCTACCCCAGTGACCATACGAGGGGCCGCCGTAATGCTCGCGCTGACCTGGCAGGACCGGGTCCCGCTGATGGCTGTGGAGTCTGCTGTCTGCTTGATGTCGCCCGAGTAGACCAAAAAGCACGCGCCTGGTGAGTGAGACAGTGAGGCTGCCCGTGTCTTACTGGCCTCATTATTCTACCATGATCAAAGTCACCCCCGAAGTGGTGGGTTCAATGGAAACAACCACATTTTCTGACTTTGACAACCCCCAGAAACCGTCAAAATAATGACCCAGTCTTACACCTGTCACATGACCTTTGCAATAAGAAGCCTGGAGTACCCCTTAACTTGCTTAAACAGGAATAAGCAAGTCAACGTGGAAAGCAAGCTGGCTCCAACTGTCAAAATCTGGACCCCTAAGGGTCACCAATATCAGTCACCATTCCAACGTGCTTCAATAGAGAGACAGCTGTTCCTCTTACTAAGCCTCAGCACATGCTTTCAGAGATGACCAAGCTTAGATGGTCCCTGAGGCAAGAGCCAGCAAAGAGTCTTGATCCGAACAAAGGCCACACCCCAAACTCCCGAGCTCGGCCCCAAGGCCTGGGGCAGGCGCTTTCTGCAACCCTCTGTGCAGCTCCCTTGATCCGACACCCTTGGGACTCCATCTAGGTCCTCCAGTAGAAAGGTTCGAATAAGGGTACCCGATTTTTTTCTGATGTCTCTTTTAGTAGGGGAACCCTCCCGCAAAAAAGAAACCGTCAACGGGCACCTAGCTGGGGGACCTAGCCATGCCTGGTGGACTGGACTTGGGCTTGAAGGTGAACTTCTGGCAGAGGCTGTTGGCCTGCACGGCTGGAAATGCAAAGTCTGTCGGCTGGACAAAATTGTGGTGCTCCTTGTGGTTTCCCTTTGACACCGCAAAAGAAATGGTACCCTCAAAGAAAGATAGACCCAACTTAAGTGAGAAAACAACAACAACAACTAAATTGGCAGATGGGTCTAGTAAAGTAAGGGGGGCAACCACATAAATTCTGGCATGAATTATTATGTGCCGAAGACACACTCAATCGGATCCAAGAGCCAAAAAGCAAAAAGGCCAGAAATTGCCCAAACCAAAAGGATCTGCCTGGGACTCTCACTTAAACAAATCCTGGAGCCCGCCCGGCCTTGGACATCGCAAAGTTACAGATTCATTGGCACCAGCAAATTGATCAACTTTGGTAGGGGAAGTGGCCCTTGCCTATCCATGCTTTGCTAGGGTTTGTATGGTCAACCTTTGCTTTTGCACCAACATTAGAGAAGCATCACCCGTCAAGAAACTTTAAGCAACCATTGTGGGGATAGCGAGGGCAACCATGAGTATGACCATGAGGAGCTTTCATGGCAACGCCATGGTTGTGAAATCAAATCATGCTTTCTGTGATAGCATTGTTGGGACATCCCCAGCCATCCCAATTTGACGCGCTTTGCAGGTTGTTCCTTTGACAGAACACGGGTCAAAGCCTGGCTTTGTGTAAAAACATTTCATTCTCCAGGCCGGCAACCACTGCTCGGCCTAGATCTTTTCAGGGCCTGGTGCAAAATCGATTCCTGTGTTTCCCGGGAAAAGGCGGCCCTTAGCTGTAGCAAAAGGCCGAGTCAATGGCCAGCTTCCCAAACACACACACAGAGCTCCAACTTTTACGGATAAACATGCAACCCAAAAAAAGCGCCCGAAAACGAGACTCGGTTGCTAGGCCTTCCGTGCGCCAACGTGTTCCGAGAAGTCACTGTCCGAGCTGTGGAGCGCGGTGGCATTCTTTGAAAACAACTAAAAACTGGCCTGTCCGTTTTCAGATCCCCTGCTAAACGTGTTTCACTTTGAGTGGGCTAAATGGACATCCAACCACTAAATCCTACACGAAAAACCCTAAAGGATCCTAAAGGGATGGCTGGGAGCCACCAATAAAACAAGCTCTTTCGATGAAAATCTCGAGAGCAAACCGCACCCGCGAGGCAATCCGATGGCCTCACAGCTCTGCTGGCACATGGCCGCGCTTGGAAGATATGCGCCGTTGGGCTGCGCCATGTCGCCGTTGGCATAGGCAATGCCTCAGGGCGATTGGGAAATAGGTACCTTCCCAATGGGTAAACAGAAGGAATCAATCTGAAAAACATCTACCCTCCCTCCGACAATCACGAAATGAAGAACAATTGTTATTCAACCAGATGATACTCCCAGTTGCCCAGTGACGGTAGACGAAGGCACTCTTTTGGGGTTCACCAATTTGTTTGCTTCTCTCTCTCTTTTTTTTTGGGGGGGGGAGAGGGAATCAGAGAGGAAAACAGGGTGCAACTGAACCTTTGGCTCCTCACACGTCCATCCCCCCGGTTTTGCATTTTCCAGCCGGGAGCTTCCTTTGGAAGGCGGGTTTCGCCCGCCTTTCTCCAAGCATTCTGCTTCGGCTCCGGCCAGCACCAAGGAAGAAAGCACAACCCGCAGCATGGCGACTGCTCAAAGTCCTCCTGGTGCTTGGGCTACAAAGGCTGCGACCTATCCTAGCATGAGATGCAAACTGACGCGGGCGTAGTGCAAGGGAAAAAACGTGGCACCCATGATTACCCTGCCAATAGCTCGGCAAGCGAAGTGAAATAAAGCACAGCTCCTGTGGCGTAGCACCGGGAGAACATCAGGCAATCTGCCCACCACACACGCGTTGCACACTGCACAGGATCCCCACATCTGTCTGAGGGCTATTCCAACAGTGCGATGCAAAACAGTCCGCCCGAGTCGAAGTCCTGTACCCAAGTGCCGCCTCACATGTCCCCCTGGCACATGGTATGACGTTTCACCCGACCAGCCTAGAAGCCTAGGCGGCACCAGCCCAGCAACTCAGCCGATCCCCCACCAACCCCCCCTGCAACTTGCGCACAGCGCAGCTTTTTCAGCCAGCTTCCGAGACGCTGGAACGCTGCTTGGCGCCGTTTGGCCGATTTGCTCCGCACGATCGGAAGCTTGGATTGGGGCCATACTAAGGACACTCAGCTAAACGGCGCCAAGCAAGACCCCACTGGTCCAAAAGCCCAGGCGAACCTGGGAGGCTCAAGCCCGCTTTTGAAACGAGACAACCTTGGACAAGGAGGAAACGCCCAGCTTGCAGCCGGTAAAGATACAACGGCCTTGCGAGCCGCCTAGCCAAGTCGACCAAAGCCGAGAGCCAAGCGACCCATCTCGCAGCCTGGGTCAAACCCGAGCTGAAAACGACCGCAGGCGATAGCGTGCATCAAATTTCCCGAGCTCAGGGGGGTCTAAGTGAATCTGAGCCATGAAAGGCCAAGGACGTGCCTCCCCAATGGCCAAACTTAGCTTCCTGGAAAACAAGTATGTACGCGCGGCTGGCAAACATGAAAAAAAAAGGCGGACACCAACAGCGACAAACTCACAACAAAAAACGTCGCTAAACTTGGCAATGAACTCTTGCCTGGGTAAACTTGGCAATGAACTCTTGCCTGGGCCCAGGGCCCCTGCACAAGGTAAGACGACTGCGATTGAGAACGCGGGAATATGGGCGTTTGGTTTGTTCTTTTCTGAATGTAGGTTCACTCTACCAGAATTTCATTGTCGCTGCTTTTGAGACAAGTATACTCAACAAGAGCTTCGGGTTTAGGGATTGGTTTTGGGTTGACTTAGGGCGGGAATAGAACTGGTCTAGGGTCAAGTTAGGTTGGTCAAGCGCGTGTAGGGCGTGTAGATTGTCTGGTGCAGGGTGGATTCAGGGTGGGTCTTGGATTTTTAGTTGGGGTCAAACCTGGTTGATTGTCAGCCTGCGGATGCACTTCGGATGAGTTCGGGCCGTGCTAAAGCTAAGGCATTAGAGTGTCAGGCTTGGTTTAGATTGGGGTTAGCGAGGGTTTGCGGGAGGGCTTGGTATAGGGTATGCTCAGCCTGCGGGGTTGGTTCAGGGTGAGGAGGCCATAAGCTAAAAGCCAATGAAAGTCACGAGGCCAAGAGCTCATGACAAAAATAGCTCGATCGAAGCTGAACATTCGCGGGTTCTTTAGCACCTAGGAGCATCTGTTCAATCCACAGGATAGAACAACTTAAATTAAGCAATCATTCGGGACACCAACAAGTTATGTAACGCGCAAACAGCCTGACGTCTGGTCAAGCACGTCCTTGGGATTCCAGCTGCATAGAGCTGCCATGGCGTCCCGGACTTTCCGATTCTGGATTCCAACGTGAGCGGGCGACCCGCATAAGACCGAAAAAAACAATATCTTGTGCAGCGAAGTCTAACCTCCATTTGCTTAAGTCCCCTGGAGAAAAAAACAAAACATATTCCAGTAGTAATAGACTCCCTTTAAAAACCAACAGGGGAAAAACAACCTTAAGCAAATGGAAGGTAACTTTGGCATCCCCTTGCAAGAAAATGAGCGCCGCCAATCTGAAACTCCTATTGCATGGGGTGTTCGAAACTGCTTTTGCCAAACAAAGCAAAGCCCCCAAGAAGCAATCACTAAATTTTCCCTCCAAGCAAAACATGACAAATCTTCACCAGGCATCCAGAATCGCAATGCTTAAAACCTGGACAGCAAGGCGCTTGCTGCCTTTGGTGCAAACGTGAGCTGGGCGCTACCAGCTGGGCATTGAATTACAAGAAAGCCAAACTGCTGAAATGTCCTGGCCCCGGTGCGTGAAACAAATGAGAAAATACAACAAGCACAAACAAGCAAGAAGGCAAACAAACGAACAGACACGGCAACCAACCAAACATTGGGAACCAAAAACCGGAGAAGAGCACAGCTCGTCAATGAAAGCGGCCAGCGGCCATTGCAAAGAACGCAGATGCGCTTTGCACTTGAAGCACCGGGGCAGGCCGCCTGCCTTGAATCCCTAGCCGCATGGAGGGCTCACGGGGCTCACGGGGCTCACGCTCACCGGGCTCTCTTCTTCCGGGATGCAGGGCATGCGGTGGATCTCTTCGGGCTTTGGCTCCCTGGCTCGGTTGCGCAAGACCCCAAAAAGGGAAACAGCTGTTGGAAGCTGCACAAGGATGGATCAAAACCGGGCGACCAAAGGTCAAACGCTCCATTTTAAGGAAGCCACTCTTGGCATGATGGAGGAAGTAACAGTAGGGTGGAGCCGGAATGAAATATCATTGGCCCAACCGCTTGTTGATCTTCCCGTGTCTTCGGACTTATCAATCATAGGTTCGCCCTCAGCTGGCGTCCTACTGTTTCAAATGGACTGGTCTCAAATGGAAGATCGCAAAAGTGCCCCTCTGGGATCCACCCCCGAAAAGAGAACCCACAACAAACAAGATATGCTCAAATGCGGCTCGTGGGACTCTTGTACGCCCAAGAGCCTGGGGCCGAATTCAAGACCTCCCTCCCGCAGGAAAACTGCGCAAGTCCTTAGTTGCAACCCATAAAACAGGCAGAATGGTAACTCTGTTCAGAATTTCCAGCCTTTGCACAGCCGAGGGGCCGCCCTAAGAAGGCGTGATGCATTTGTTGCCGCTGCCTCTGAGTTTGTCCATTTCCCCTGGAAAAATAAAGTATGTCCGTCAACATTGACAATTACCCACCAAAAAAGCATCCTCAAAATTATTACTTTAATGGACTGTGCATCCGAATGGTGGAAGTAGCCACCTGCTTGATACAACCCGATTGCATGCGAGTCCAGTTATGTTCCACCCGGACAATGTTAGGCAAACCCCGAGTTCCAACTGCTGTGGGGACCCAACATGAACCCCACACCGCCCAGGTTTCCTTTTGTTTTCCATTGGTCTTGCCGTTGTGCCCTCTGGGATTCAAAGGTCAAAGGCTCGTGTCATTTTTTGCTTGCGCTAGCCTCACGCGGACCCAAAAGGTCCTGGTAGGAAAATTGATTGCAACACTCCCCAACGCGACTCGGGACTCGCCTCGGCTCGGGCGGCACTTCGAGAGCAAGATCCTGCGTTCGCTCAAAGGTGTGTTGTTCAACGGGGCAATCCAAGATCCTGCGTTTGGCCGCTTTAGACTCCCTGCTCCCAGGCCAACACTTGTGGCTGATGGCTGTGTGCCAAGGGTGCCTTCCCAACGAATTCTAGCAATCAAGCCAGTCACCAAGGGGTCTGATTGAACGCAAGAGCCACACCGACTTCTCGCAGGCACGCACAGTCGTACGCGAGCACTCAGAGGAAAACCGCCCAACCCCTCCACCTAACTGGCTGGCGTAATAGCACGGAAAATGAAGGGGAACCTATTGCGAAAGTGGACTATCTAGAGCCTCGGCCTGACGCTCTTCAAAAACCCTCGGACACGTCTTCATAAGGTGATACCCCTTGTCCTGTTCTCAACCGGTTTGTCTCAAAATCAGGGACCTTGTTTGCCTTCCTTTTGGCGTGCCCTGTAAAATACTCACCAAAGCTGCTTCCTCCCAAAAAAAAAGAAAGGCACGCCGGGGAGCCTGATTTTCCTGGGCTGCCCTCAGATCCCCCGCTAAAAGTTTAATTTTTAGTGGGTTGAATGGAAACTACCACTGGCCACACTAAGAAGCTCAAAGGCTAAGGAACTGGATGGCCGGGAGCCACCATGTCACATGAGAGGGGTTGCTTCCAACTACACAACCCACTCCCTCCTTCCCAACCCCCAGCGCTTCAGCCTCCCTCCTCCCCAGCCCAAGTTTCGTAAACCTAAGCCCCCCTTTGTAGACACCCGGGGTGGGGTGGGAGGGGGGACGACCAAGAAAACAAGTATGGCTCTGAATGTTGCAGCTCAAGATAAGACATAGATCATATCCATCTTCCAGGGGTGCCTTCCCCATTCTTTCTAGGGAGCCTTCTCTGCGCGTCCTGCACCAGCTGCTTCAGCGCCTGCACCGCCTCCCGCAGCCGCTCCCGCTTCTCTTCCGGCGAGGCGTCCGCGGGCGGCTGCAGCAGCAGCTGCAGCGGCGCCCGCTCCGCGCGCTGCCGGTGCAGCTCCTTGGGCAGAGGAGCTGCCCAAAATCTGAACATTCCTGGACACGGAAACAAGGAGCACTGGAAAGAGAACGTCACACATTTCGGGGCTTGTAAAAAAAAAAAAAAATCATCACAAGCTTCGGGGGTTTGCTAAAAACTTCGCACAATTTCAGTTGTTTTTTGCAACTTCACACATTTCAGGGCTGTGCTGCCCATTGGTTGGCTGGGGCGATTGGTTGATTACCCCTTTTTCAAGACAAACCCAAAGAACTAGAAGCGCCAAAGCGTGGGGTGTCGACATGCAAACGCCTCTGCTCTTTGTTGCAGGTGCCTCGGCCGTTTTGCGAGTCAGACATTTGCCTCCCCAGCAAGACATCTGATCAAGCTCTCAGAAGCATATATTGAAAAAGTAACCTTCAAGTTCGAAGCAACCAAAAGCGCTGTTCGCTTATCCCTGGGATGTCTCATAAACCTCTCTTAACACAAGTCAACACATCTAAGGCTATGGCTAGGAACCGCCAGGCTAAGTGTCTTTGATTCCTTATTGCGCGTAGGCATTGAATCGGCTGGTAGGAGCCTGGGCCAGCTTTGCTCGAGCACACCCAATCACCCAATCAGTCAGATAGCTTACTCCACGGCTCATTGCCCAGCCCGCACTAAAAAACGGCCTGGGGGGGGCGGGGCGGCCGGGTACATGAAGTCCCTTGTGCCCACCTTCCAGGAAGGTATGTGGGGCAGGGTCCTTTGTTCGTTTTTTCTCCCACCTGGCACGGATCTTGAAATCAGTTGAACAAAAACGCCTCGGTCAAGCTCTAGACGAATAGGAGGGTGCCACCAAGGGCTCCAAGGACTCGAAGTGCTCCGATGTATCTCAGGTTTCTCGGGGCCAGGTACCTTCCGATCCGTATGGATCCAAAGCAGTCGGCCAGGCGGCAGCTTCCCGGATCTCCAGGCCCAAGATCTCTTGCTGCCTGTGTCCGAGGAGGGGAGGGGAGGGAGGTGATCCAGTCTTGCCAAGGGGACATGGAACCAAATTCCAGGAACCACCATTTGCCAGGCTGCTTTTTGATGCTCTGCTGGAGTATTCTTCTGGTGCGGAGGGGGGGGGGGTTCTTCCATTTTTCTTGGGCTTCGTTGCCGCATGCGCTTGCACAGTCCCGCCTCCAACTCGGCCCAGGACAATGACATGGAAGATACGGATTGACTTGGTACCAAGCAGGGGCCCTGGACAAAATGATCCTCTGTTGGTGCCATTGCCTGAACTACACATGTTCATTTAGCAATGAGAAAGGATCAGAGAGGATCAGATCCTTTAAATCCAACAATTGGCCTGAAACGCGCGACGTAGGGTCTCCTGCTCATCCTGCACATGGCCTGTCCAACGGATCAACCCATACAGATGTTGGGGTGAGAAACGCCCAGCCTCTGCTTCACAGTCCATGCCCGGCCATTCTTGATCCTCAAGGCCTAGAAAATTCATGTTCATTTTGTCAACCCATACACCTTCAGGCCCCTACCTTCAGGTTGGGGTGAACCCTTTTTGTCTTCCCTTCCAACCAAGCGCTGACCCGGGCACTCAGCCCCCCCCCAAGCACCCCTCCCCCCCACCCCGGGACCTCCCGGCCGAAAAACGCCCCGGCGCCTGCGGGTCTCCGCCAGCTCCAGGCGCGCCGCGCGCATCTGCTCCGCCGCGCGGCGCTCCGCCGCCTTCTCGGAGCTCCGCAGCATGCGGACCTCCCGACTCGCGGTCGGCGGATGGACCGAGGCGCCTGGAAAAACCAAAGTGGCGGCCTCTGGCCAGGTTAATTACCCCCCAACACCCCCCCAAAAAAAGAAGAAGACAACAAAACGAGCATAAGATGTGGAAACGGGTGGCAGCTCAAGACGGGCTGGTAGGGTCATGTGCGTCGTCCTTTAGTCAAGGTCCTCCATACAGTGCACGGTGGCTGTAGGACGTGGGTGGAGCGCCACCTTTGCTGTAGAGGAGCATAATTTCCGACAAAGAAAACACATCGCCCCCTGGAGCCTCCTTCTTCCCGGAGAAAAACAAAAACAACATATGTGGAAATCTCTATATTTATGCATATATATATATATATATATGTATATATATATCTTCATATGTATACGCATCAATTATTGCTGTAGTAACGCTATAAAAGGGAAAAATATGGAAAAATTGTCCCAAGGCCCCAATTCAAACTGGCCTGAGCAGCTGATGTTTTCATCACCCAGTAGCTTACTAAGGGGGCCTCTACATGGAGCAAGCCTCATGAGTGCTTTGATGCACTTGACTGTCACTGGATTCCCCCTGTTTTATCGGCGCATGGGAGGCGTTGGGGTGGGGTTGGGGTTGAGTCCAGCCAAGCTTGCCACCCCCAGCACTAGCAGCGAAGCAAGAGGCAAAGCCCCCCGGCGCCTCGAGGTCGCGCTCCTGTGGAAAAAAGGGCCGTCCCACGGCTTGAATCAAAATTATGTATCTACTTACTTGAAAATACAACAAGCTGAGGATCTCCAAGTAAATACCATCACCATAGTAAGCCCATTCTACACCCGAAACGATAAACTTGTCATACAATAGGGAGCGATAGTTGATGGAAAGGGGGTAATTGAGGCCCCGTCCTCGGTTGAGTTTGTGAGGAGATTCTCCTGCTTTCCGTCAAGCCACCCGTTGCACAAGTTGACCCAATACGATACCTTGAGCGAACCCACACGAGCGAGTCACAGTAAAGACCCCACTGTTGAAATGAGAGGTTCAACCAGTTGGGACCAGAAATGTGCAAGAAATCGCTATTTCTCGCCTCGCTGGCTCAGCTGAGACACACACACACACACACACACTGAAGGATCGTTTGGAGAACAGTACTCATGTCCCGTAAGAGGATGAAGTTGAAGTTAGAAGACACACACACAAAAGAGGAAATACAACTTTTGATGAAGCCCCCGAAGGTGACCGCATTCCTTGTGCGGATGATGTGGGCTTTTGCCTTATCTGCGCGTATGCATGCACTGTCTTCCTTGCAAACCAAGACGTCCCCAAACCAGCCCAAAACTCACATAACCACACCCTGAAGCAACCCTGAAGCAACCCTGAAGCCACTGCAAAAAAACGAGCCGCACACCCCAACCGACCGATCCAAAAGTCAACCTTAACCCGACCAACAACAGCCTGGACATCAGCCCCAAGACCTGCACCCATTAAGAATTCAGCCAGCCCACAACTCAGCCGAAACCAGCTCGGAGCAACTCTCAACTGCCGCTACATCAAAGCCCATAGGCAGCTCAACGGTCCGAGCGACGCTCGGTGACGGTGATGCTAGGGATGTTGCCAACCAACCCCGACCAACTAACCAACAGCAAATCACCGTCATTAGGCGCAAAGTAACCTGGAATGCTGGGGACGTGGCCGCCCAATCACCCAACCGCGGCCGAGCAACCAGCGCCAAGCAAAAAAACACACCGGCTCCGGGAAGCCCCCCCTCCCCCCCACAACCCAAACAAAAAACAGAACAACATAAAACAACCAAGTCTTCAGGGCTCAAAGTCAGAAAAGGACCGCCCAACCCCCGAACCCTGCCCCCTGTTTGTTGGTGGTTTCAACGGCAAACCAGGGAGGCCCGTGGTGTTTTTTCGGGTTGGGGCGTCCAATCCGGACGTCTCGACCGAACTCCTGGAGCTCGGCCCGCAGCACCTCCACCCGCGCGCGGTCCCGGACCGTCTGCTCAGCGGAGGAGCCGCCGATGGCCTCCGCCGTGGGATCTCGCCTCAGCGTGCTCCGGTCTGGATGCACGAAATCCCGCACCCAAGAAACCCAAGAATGATGATTCCCCTGCAAATACCAAATGGTTTCAACCATGGTTTCAAAGTGGTGCGAAATGGATTTCGTCCATCCACGGTAGGTGTGGATGGACGAAATCCTTTGGAACCATGCGACAAAAGCCACTGTTCGTTGGCATTTACAGGGAACTCAGATTATTCCAGGTTCCTGAAGTGGTGCCTAAGAAACCATGGAATGGTTCGATTCCAAGGGAAATACCAACAAACCGTGGCTTTATTGTGTTTTTTTCTCGCATGTGGTTTCTTTCGGGTGGTGCGAAATGGATCTCGTCCGTCCACAGTAGGTCTGGGAAAGAAGATGAATATGCAGAAACCAATGCGGCCATTCGGCTTCCTTGTGGGGAGTCTCAAAAGTTATGGTCTAGGAAGTGCCAAGGACGCCAAATGAGCGAGAGGCAAAACCTAAGACTACTTTGGGCGATTTCGAGCAACACGTTATCGTTTTTGGGGCTTCGCTATATCGTTCTGCAATGTTTCAGACACTGGTGCGTTTATGTCAAGGAAGGGTGGAAGGGGGAAAGAGAAAGAATGGAGGAAGAGAGCAGAGGAAGAGAAACTGGGAGGAAGAGAAAGCAGGAGGAGAAAGGACGAAGGGAAGAAGGATGGGGAGGAAGGGATAAAGGAATCCAGGGAGTAAGAGAGCAAGGAAGGATGGGGCAAGGGAAAAAGGAGGGTGGAAGGGAAGGGAGGAAGAGGAAGGGAGGAAGAGGACGGGAGGAAGAGGAAGGGAGGAGCGCCAGTTGCACGTCATGCGACGTTATCGTTTTTGGGGCTTCGCTATATCGTTCCTGAGGAAAAAATCCAAAACAAGCAACGCGAAATCGCCGAAGACATATTTCATGACGAGAGAGTTTAGCCTTTTGCTCAAATGCCCCAAGGCCGTACAACCTTCACAGAAGATCTTCGAAGGCTTCTGAACCAATTTTTTGATGAACAATTGCAAGTCAACCTGCCGCTTCTCTTTTTACAGGTTCTCTGGTTCCAAGGTTCCAGAATGGACAGGTCAGCAAAAAGTCCAAACCTTTCCAAGGTTCCAATACCTTGGGGGGGGGTTTGCGGGTTCTCTACTTCCAAGGTTCGTCAGTCAACAATACCTTGGGGGGGGGGGGAGGGGCCCGCAGCTCCGCCTGGGCTCAGGCGGCGAGCTGACCGCCAAGCGCCGAATCTGCTCCTCCCGGTCGTGCACCAAGCTCGCCATCTTCTCCTCCGGCTGAAGGGAACCGGAGGTGGTGAGGCCATGGGTCAAAATCCAAATCGTACCCCCAGTGAACATCCCAGTCCCCACTAGAACAGACTAAAATGGGCGGTGCACCTACCCCAAAATGGTACCATTCGTTTTCAGCCACAGCCATAAGTGTTTCTGAAGCTGGAGGTTCAATTCAGATGTCATCTCCACTTGCAGGCAAACCCATTTGAATGTTTCAACACCAGCGGCTCACTTACAGCAAGCGAATTGACCGAATCTGACATGTTGGTTTGCCAGTTGTACTTAATTTGGTCGGTTGACCTGCTTCCGGGTGTGCAAGCGAGATGCCCCCTTTTCAGGTTTGCAATGTTGTTTACTGACAACATTGGATAGCGAGCGTATTTCGTGTCAACGGGTTAATCCGACCTAATGCAACAGCCAGGCCTAATGGGGACCCCCCCCCTTCCGCCGAAATTAATAATACTGATTAAATCCCCTTAACAAGGATGGCTCCACAGATAGATATAACATGACAAATATACCACGGAACTAGCCAGAAGGTCCCTTTAGGTGGAACATGGTCTTCCAGTCTGATTCCATGCTAGTGGGTGGAAAGTTCATTGAGCTGAAGTTCCCTTCCGAATGTCTTTGATCACAGATTAACAGGCTCTGCAATTTGCATGTGTGTCTGTATATGCACATGTACGAGTTGCATGGATACGTGTTCTCAACACATCTGCATATATATATATATACACATATACATATACGTATATACGTGTGTTACCTGTACACCCGGTGAAACCCATGCAGACACCAATCAGCAGGACCATGCCCTCGGCCCGTACCGTAGCGCTCCAGCGCTGCTTGGCTCTCCGCCAGCTCGCTAAGCAACTGCTGCTCCCGCGCCCGGAAGGCGTCGGAGTCCGCGAGGCGCGTGGCCAGGGGGCTGTCCGCCTGCGAGCTGAAACCCCGGGCAAGCGGGTCGTCGGGTCGTCGTCTTGTCCGAAGGGGAAACGGCGCCATAACTTAAAGCCGTGCGGGAACTAAGAAGAAAATGGCCTCTAGAACAGCTAGCCTTGAATCACTGCATGGTTGTGGGAAATGGCCGAAGGGAACCCAGGAGGAACCCAAAAGGAAAGCTGAAACAGAACCCCCCAATAGAACCGCCAGAGAGCGCGAACGCTCTTAAAAACGCTCATGGTCTGGCAGATGGCATGCGATGACTTTCCAGGGGGCTCCCTTGAGATCAGGGTGTCCTCGTACAGCAGGGGCTGACAAATGGAAGGAGCCAGGGTTTCAGGTTGTTGAGTTTAGGCACAGAGTGCGCCAACACTATTACTCCGAAGCCAACATTCCGGACATCCACTTGCAAACCATGTTGGACAGCGTCAGTGCACCCACACACACACACACACACGCACCCCGTTGATTGTCTTGGCCCAGGGCCTTTGGGCGTCTTTGGCCAAAGCTTGCACCGTCGCACCGTTCGGCGCCTGCTCCGGGCTCTCGTTGCGTACAGGAGAGGCGGCCCAGGAGGCGCTCAAGCGACATCCGGGGCTGTCCAGAAGCCTCCTGAAGCGAAGCCAAGCGGCGAGCTCCCAGCCTCCAAAGTCCAAGCTTTATTCTTGGGTACAGGGCTTTGTTCTTGGATTCCTGTGGAAATCCTACTGTTGCGCATGAGAACAAACTGTTTTCGAAGGGTGAAAGTGGCGCCGTGCCCCAAGAAAAAATAGAAGCGTTGGATCAGAGTGTAGGATTCCCCTTTTGTTTCATGTTGCTACACGCATCTTCTTGACAAAGCATGAACATCGGATTGTTTAAATGGAACCTGCATGAAACTAGGCTGGTGGCTGCCGAGCCGCCGTGACTTCGAGACGCAACTTTGCCATCTTGGGCCCTTCCGAAACTGTGGCAGGCGTGTAGGTCGTATCATCCCAGACAAAGAAAGACCTGCTACGAAGTGACACGCAGGCCATTCAAGCAAGCCGCGCCCTCATTTCCCCTAAGCGAAACATCGACGTGTAGCTGTCAGCTTTGGAAAAGTAGATGTTTCATGGTTGCAGCTCAGCCAATTTTGTCTGGACAAGAAACACAGCCTTTCCTTCGTTCCCCTGCGCGGCTCTGGCGACTGACATCCGCTCGATTCAGTGTTGCGCGTGAGCAGGTGTGCTTACACCATTGGGCTGGTACGCGTGCAGCGCTGCGCAGTGCTGAGCGGGTGCGCGTGAACGGGCGGCCTTACCATTTGGCTGGCACGTGTGCAGCGCTGAGCGGGTGCACGTGAGCGGGTGTGCTTACCATTTGGCTGGCATGTGTCCTACTGTACTGGATTTGTATATGGAGGCTTTTTTCGTACCTCATCTTCTATCTTCCTCATTCACGTTATCTTTCAAGGGCTCTCTCACATCCCTTTCTGCACCATTTTCAAATTTTCAGGGTGTTTATTGTTTAGAAAGGGGACGAGACACATGAGACTCGGCATGGATTTTTTCTACATCTGTACGTGTGCCCCATCCTTCTTCTTTGTTCCATGCCGGGTGGGTCACTGAAACTTATTCCTTTCACTCGCCCAGTCCAAGTCGGAAGGCACCCTCCCTCCCAACATGGCACAAGTCCAACATGTCACACAGTTTGTGCCAGGCTTAACAGACGGGATTGGTAAGCTTCTCCCTCCACCATCTGCCTAGGCTTCCTCAGACGAGAGATGGAAGAGGGGAGAATCCAGACATCATCTTAACCGAAAAATATGTTACCAGTGGAGCCGGCGAAGCCGGTAGGCGGAATTTTCACCACACTGTAGGAACTTCTAAAGCTGTTTCCCTTTCTTGTTGTTGCTTCTCTCTCCTGATCTGCCTCTTTCTGTTCTCTCTCCCTCTCTTCCCCTTCTTGTCTTTTTCTTTTTATTGCCCTTATTTCCCTCGTACTTTCCTTTTCTACTCCCCATTCTCTTTCTCTTTCGCTTCTCTCTCCTTTTATCTTTCTCTCTCTCTCTGTCTCCTCCTGTGCTTCCCTCAACCCTGTCTTTCGAGAAACTGCTTCGCGTAGATCACATGTATGCCCAATCTTCCTTCGTAGCTATCCAGCCACCTAGTTCTCTATCACTGTACATATCTATCTATCTACCTGCCTGTCTATCTATCAATCTTATCTATCTGTCAAAAGGCGCTTACCTGACTGACCAATCAGTGCTTGTCTGTCTCTGCCTGCCAGCCGCTCACTCTATCTATCCGTCCATCTATCTATGTATCCATCTATCTGTCTATTTATCTATCTATCTTTCTATTTATCGAGCTACCTAGCTGCCCGCGCGCATGTATCTATCCATCTGCATGCCCGTCCGAATATCTGTAGCTACAAGCAATCTATCGATCCACCTCGATCTTGCTACCCATCTTGCTATTGATCTATCTGTACATTCAAACTCGCACTGACCGCGCGAAAGTGCCGCGCCTTCCACGAAATTTGTGCCTGTGCGAAGATGCTGCGCCTGCCACGAAATCTGCACCTGGCCTGGCAAAAGTGATGCGCCTTGCCATGAACTTTGCACTTGACCCCACGAAATCTTGGCCACAAAACTGAAGATAGCCAAACAAAGAAATGAACCGCAAACACAAAAGCAACAACAAAGAACCGCCCTTCCCTTTGGTCCTGGGCAAAGGGAGGCTGCAGTCCTCCCCGGGCCGTGTCAGCGGCTGCCGCGGGGCGGGCAGGGAGGAGGACAAACCTCGAAGCCTAGCATCGCATTCTCGGAGATATGCTGAGGGGGACATGCAAAAGGTTTGTAGGACACCATGGGGTGTAAACTTCCATTTGCTTAAGCCCCCGGGAAAAATAAAATATGTCCAGTAGTGAGAGGTGTCCTTTGAAACCAACAAGGAAAAATAAACAACATATCCTCAAGCAAATGGAAGTAAAAGACTTCATACAGCCAAAGCCAGGGCTCTGGCAATGCAGCTCATTCAATAAACCAAATAGAACAGGAGAAGCCTCAAGAAGGGAACCCTCCATGGGGAACCTTAGTGGTGAAAAATTGTGCTTCCTGTGATGCCAACATGGGTCATTCCCATGACTACTTGGTCACTTTGAAGGGGATTCCCTGGTATCTCAGGAAGCGGCAGAATCCGATCATCCACATGGAACAATGATGCCAAGTTGGAACCTCTCAACAAACCAACTCTCTACTCCACTTCAAACTGGACCAGGATTGTTTGTCTCAACAGTTTTGCCCAACCCAAGTTCCGCCTACTCCCGCCTATTCCCCTGTTCAACACTCGTCCGACTATGAAGAATACCCTCCACCCCCACCCCACCCCACCCCCACCCCACTTCATTCACACTTGATTGTTTGCGGCCCTGAGCTGAATCCAACACCCGCAAGCAAAATGGTTGCAAGATAGACCCTACTTGGCCACCTCAATTTCGTTTTGAAGGGGGTCATGAACCGCCTCACTAGGGGTTTGTAGGTGTTACAACTCCATTTCCAAGCAATACTTCTGCCTCGAATTCGAAAAGGTCGAACCTAGCATCGAGAAGAAACAAAACAAACCTTTCAGGGTCCAAGGAAAATTTTGTGGGAGGCTATGTTCATACCCCCGGCTTGCTACGATTTTCAGCGGTTTTGCAGCCGTGAGCCTGACCAACTCTAAAAACCAACAAACGGAAAATCAAACATATTCATTTCAGCAAATGCAAGTGACCCTCCACACCAGGACCATCCCAGTAACTAGTGCTAAATTCCTCTAAACACCAACAAGGGTGTTGCTTTCTTTTTCTTTTTTGGATTTCAACAAATGGACCCTCCACACCAGGACCATCCCCCCCCCATCCCCCCCGACTTCCGACGTTCCGAGTGGCTGGGGCCGAAAGTCGTGGTTCTGCAGCCGTCGCAGCTGCTCGTCCATGCGCGCGATGCGGCGATGGAAGGCTGCCGCCTCCGAGTCCATGCCTCCGACACGAGCCGACGAGCCCGAGGCGAGCAAGGCGAGCCAGGCGAGCGGTGGGGTGTCTCGTCTTTCGAGGCGCAAAAGGAACACCACCCATGTGGTGGGGTTGAGGGTATCCCCTTTTTCCCTCTCATGGAAACGCAAAAGGAACCAACCACCGTTTTTGTGGTGGGGTTGAGGGTATCATTCCTTGGAAACGGACACCCAAAGGGAAACAAAAAGCACCCATGTGGTGGGGTTGGGGGTATCAGGTTGTTCCCTTTTTCTGGTTTCAAAGGGCCTTTGTAGTGCAGTTGAGGGTAGCTTTGTTTTCTGGTTTCAAAGAAATCCAAAAGGAGAACACACCGTTTTGAGTGTTCCCTTTAAACAAGACGCACACGCCCATGTCTGTTCTTTGACCGACTCCATGTGCCTGTACAGTTCTTCAAATCCTTCTGGCACCAAGTTGCCATCGAATGCACAGATATCCAAATCGTGGTTTACTTTTCTTGAATGGCACTGGTATTAAAAAAAGAAAAGAACAATAACGCTGACGATGTCTTTGTGGGGTTCACGATTTTCAACTGGAGCCCCAAACAAAGAAGACAAGGGTGGGGCTGTTTGAAACCACGGAAGGCGGAGGCGCCGATCCCAATCTGTACTCGCAACGGGACACCACTGAAACAAGGGAAACCAGTGCCACCTGCCGAAAGGACTGGGGAATCTTTCTTTTTGTGCGCAACCCAGCTAAAACGCCTTGGTTGATGAATTGGGGGGGGTCGCCATTCAGGAAATTCTTCAGGAGGAAACGTTCTAGGTTGATTCGTCCGGTGTCACCACGGCTCCGTGCCAGGCCGATTTGAAGAATACATTTTTTGGAGGGACGTGTAGGCGAAGTGCAGGGAACCCTGGAGAAAAAAAGAAAAACAACGAAAGCATGGCTCACATGCTGTGATGTACTTTTTGGGTGCGCCGGGGATATACCCCAATTGACCGCAGGGTTCAAACGCTTGAATGGAGTCAAGGCAGTGACAAAATAACGCCTCGTCCTGTAAGAAAACTATGGAGGAAACCTGAAGGAAGCCCGACCAAGTTTTGAAGCCCTCTCAAGAAACACCCTTGGACTGCGCGTGCTGGGTCAAAACCAGATGGGCCCTTTTTCGGGACGTCGAACGGGAAACTAACGTGAAACTGGTTGTTTAGAACAGTCCAGAGTTTTAAGTCAATGTGCTGTAGAGCCATGGCAAAAGAAGTATAGTCTGAAAATGTAGGAACCCGACTCTTGAAATGTCTTTTACAACAACCGGAAAGTCATACTCGAGAGGAAATATGGATTTGAAAATGTTGCTTTTCCCTGGGTCGCTTTATCACTTGCCCAGTCACGAACGGTTCGCGCAGCCCCCTTGGATGCCTTCTACGAAGTTGTTGCGCTTCCATTACCGTAGCAAGGGCTCAGAAGCGAGATCGAACAAATGCAGCACCGAGTTCAATTGTCAGATGAACGCTCTGGATCTATAAACCCAAGTTTTATGCATATTATGCAGTTAAGGGGGTGACCCTGGCCTTTTGCAGTGCTTGCACCCTCACATTTATCAGACACAGGGTGTGGCATGGTCCCGCCTCTGGAAGCCCAAAGGGTCCAAACCTTGTGTAGGCCAACAGTCGCAAGGCTCCCCTTTGCGAGTTGGCTCATGTTGCTGAAAATGAACTTGCCAAGGCTTGGAGCTGAATGTTGATCTTCGCCGAGCAAAAAGTCCAACCTAGTGTAGGTCCAACAGAAAAGCCAATTGGTTCCAAGAGTCCAAGGGCCGATTCGGCATCAGGTACCAGCCATGGGGAGAAATTCCTGTATCTGGCGCGAGCAAACGCGGTGGGGCAAGGCATCTCGCATTTTTGAACCGGATTCATCCAGCCAATAGACTATGAGGGTATTTCCAGGAAACCCATATTCGTTCAACCAGCGGTGTATGAGTCCGACGTCAAACAAACAAAACCCATGACCCGCAGCCAAGTTGCTGGATCTGCCATCCGAGCGTGGCATGGCATGCCGCACGCTGACCCACGGGGCCGCCCCTCGAATGCAGGTGTTGCTTGCGGGCTCACGTGGCACACGTGTTTTGAACAAACATGCCCAATAGGGGTTTCTTAAACCAACCAACGGTTTTGGGGGTTTCTAAAACCAAACACCCTTTTCTGGCCGAAGATCTTCCCAACTGCTTGCCGCTTTTCTCAAGAAGCGCTCAAGATTGCCATCACCGCCTGCCGATGTGTTTCCCGTGCGCGGCCTTCACCATGTCTGGGCTCGAGCCAGATTTCTGCGGGGCCTTCGGCCATGGCAACCAGTTCCAGTGAGGTCCGGGAAAAATCGAATTGATACAGAACCATAGAGGTCAGCTGGGACAAACATGATGAATTGGTAAAGCACCAACAAAGTGAAACCACTATACCGAGTTGCCCCGTGAACTACTGAACTTGGAAGAAACCACATCCTCTTTGAGTTTGATCATATGACCGGGAAGCCCACCGAACCGGGCATCTAGAAACTCAACTGACCCAACAAAACACCTACGGTCCATGGCGAACAAGATGCAGATCAGCCGCGCCCTCCACGGGGTTTGTTTGAGGGCTGGTTGCACTTCGCCAAACATGTGAAACTGCAAGACTGCAAGTGCTAAAACGCCTGGATCCAGCTCGTGAGCGGCCTCACTTTGCCTACAGGCTGCCTTTTGCGACACAGGAAGATGATATTCGTGACCCCGAACCCCAAGCACCAGGGTGCAACCATTCGCACCAAACACGTGCACAAGGCTGCCTATGATTTTGTCCCCAAGCATCATTCCACGAAAAGATGGGCCATTCAGAGAATCGCCCATTCTCTCACAAAAGGTGGCAAAAAGACCCCCCGTACGGGGGTCTTCCAAAGGGGTCCTGGAGGCTTCTGTGTTTGTCTGGAGGAGGGTAACCCCGGATTAATCAACCCCTGGTGGATTACTAGGGCATTGTCCCTTCTAGTGGGGATTCAGACCACATTTGGAGGGAACAGCCCCCTAACAATGGGACGGGTCTATTAATCCTGGGTCAACATTAGGCTGAACTAGGGGGGTTTGTATTTTTCAACCAAATCAACCGGGGAACTTCCATGTTTGTCTGGTATAGGCCAAACTCCATCCGCCGCCGTTCCGCACCTCCAGCTTGCTCCGAAGACTCTGCGCTTCCTGGCGCAGCTTCTCCGCGTCGCCTTGGGGCGCCCGGTGGCTCCCGGGCTTCGGCACGGGCACGGCTTGATTTATTGGATGGCGGAGAGTTTTAACACCTACGTCTGCATGTACCAGTGGATGTGCAGTCTTATATATTTGGTTTGGTTTGTGGGAACGATTTGGGGGGATAGTGTAGACCTTAAAGAAGCGTCGTGGGGTCAACATGTCGCCTAAAACCCTTCATGTCAGACTTGGCCTGGGTGACAACAAGCCATGACCATACAATTCGTCTGAAAACTGTGCAGCTTGCTTCTCGCAAACACGCGTTTTCCCCGTTCAAAGGCGACAGCTGATCACTGCGTCGCGGCCAGAAAAAGCATGCAACTCGATAGGATTGTGGCCACCCAAGCAGCGGCAAGTTTCTGTACAGCAAGGCGTAGCCGCTTAGCCTGCCTTTTCCCTCAAATCACGACCTGTGGATTCCAGCCATCGAGCCGATATTGCATTAGAAACCACAGGGTGATCTGGTCTGCCGTGCCATCGCCGGGGAGGTCCCCATGCCCGCCATCATAGAAGCAACGCATGATGCGGCGCCCACTTGTGCAGCCCTTGTAGTCGAAGCATTCCAAGTTTTTGTCCCCTCCGTCCCAGTACCTCGACCACAAAACCAGCGCGCCATCTTATGGTCCCCCTTTCCAAGAAAATTGAGCCCCCCTTCAAAGAGGACCATGGCTTTTTGCTGGTTCCCTGATAGGGATGGTGGTGCATGGTTCTGTGGCCAGACTCGCAGTTCCTTAAAGCTGAGAACACAAATCACGCACGTACCTGGCTTTCTCGCATCGGGACTCAATTTGTATTTATCCCAGGCCTTCTTGCCGGAAATTCATTCAATTTCCCCTGGCCAAGCCACGTCTGGGTCGAAGATGCGACGGTATCGCAGTCATGAACCGCTGCCCAGCCCTGCTGAACCTTGTTCAATGGTTCCTTCACCGGCTGGAGGGAAATCAAAAAGCTGCCAAACATGAACCCACAAACCCTTTCTGCATCGGTGAGCACGCCGCTAGTTGTGGCATAATTGCGTGGGAGTCTTGAAAGTCTACAATGGAAGCTTTGGGCGTGCAAAAAAGCGAGCACGTCTTCGTTCTGTTGGTTCATGGACAGGCGAAGGAAGACATAAAATAAATACCCAAACAAAGAAACAACACGCGCCAAATCTTGCAAGGGTTCATAGATCCATCCGGGAAGAAAGCCTCCTGATACGCCTCCCCCGGGGGGCATGATGTCGTCCTGTCGATGCGAAGGGGTTGGACAATGCAATTAAGCGCTGGGTGGTGTGGATGAGGCTTCTCTCTCCCTCTAGTGTCGTCCAGCAAGTCTCACTCGAGTTGGTGTTTTTGTTGTGTTTGAGATTTCCTGTGTTGTGGTGCGGTTTTGGAAACAATGGGAAGCCACTCAAAATATATGTGGTGAAGTGAGCCGGGCGTGCCCAGTTGCATCACGGAAACCCGAAACCTGCATAGGCATAGCATGCTTAATTCTTGTTTGCGAGCCAGTGGTTGGAAGCGATCACGTTCCCATTGTTCGCACATCCTTACTAAGAAGTCACGTAGATTCCCTTGCTTCTCTTCGACATCCCGAGGGGTTTCTCCCCCGACTTGGGGAGGCTGCCTGACAAAGGGCAGACAAATGTAAACAAGATTGCGCGGCTTGGCAAGCCTCAAAAAGCTACAATTGTTCAATCCCCAATATCTTTGTCATTCCCACGCAATGCAATGTAAGTAGTAATTTCCCGCACTTACCCCCAAATGGGTCAAACCTTGGTATATACTGCCCACATGTGTGGGATTGTTAAACAAACCACAGCAGACCTAACCAACATATCTACCTAGGGCTGCCCTTCCGTCCTGGCGCCCATGAAGCTGCAGCATGGCCGTCTGTCTGCAGTTCTTGGTGTCCCGCACCAGCTCGAACTCCGCGCCCAGGCCATATCCTCAAACACAGCGAGTCTCCCTTCAGCCAACACCAGCCCGGGGCTGAGCCCAAGATTCTCCCTTCAGGACCAACCCTGGCTGAATTCAGCCAAAGAGGATGTCACCTGTTGGGCAATGGGCTTCCATCCCGCAACCCTCGCACCCTCTCCCTTTCTGGAGGGTCTGGAGCTGACCAAGGGCGACAAATTTGACTTGAAGGAGATATGGTTTGGGTCAGTCCCCTCAAGCAGGCCTATGTTTGCTCGAGTTGGGCCACGACAAAGCGGACTGCTTCAAGGACGAGTGTCCCAGCAGGGGAAGCCCATACCAAGGCGCGACTGCTGCAAAAGTTCCGGGCAGTGATTGCACCTCGTTCCAACTGCAAGCCGGACCCCCTCAAAACTGGCCGGTCTGTTTTCAGATCCTGCTAAGAGTGCATCACCTTGAGTGGGTGACCTTCGGATCTCTTATCAAAGCGAAGGCTTTTAGGGCTGCCATTTTTTGAAACCTGCGTTTCGCCTAGGTCTCTGGGGGGGGGGGGTTCCCCCGGACGCAGGATCTGCATCCCCAGCATCATCAGGGTTACCTTGCTGCTATGAATTGGTCTCTCTTTTGTGCAGATACTAATGATGTTTGGCTGTTTCAAGCGATGTTGGAATCGGCCTGTTAGGGGTCTGGGTGGGGCCAAGTGCAGTGATACGTTGAGGAACTGATTGAATTTGGCAAAAATGACCTGTGCGGAGCAGTTACTGCGAAACATCCCCTGCATTATCGTGTTTTTGGACGTCTATTTTTAGGGTATGTGAAGGGGGTTGCTAGTATCTGCCTTTGATGATTGATTTTGGGAAATATCAACAAATCCTGGTTTATTGGACTTTTTTGTGGCCAGCCGGCTGCATACCCAGCATTCCCGACATCTCTGGCATTTTCTGTGTTACGTCAATTTTGCGTGTCTGAAAGTCTTGAAATGTTGGACGCAAAGATTGGGTCTGTTCCTGCACGTATGTGGTTGCATCCCTTGCATTTCCAGAATCCCCAGCATCTGGGACAGTTTTCCTGACTGAAAAATAGGAAAGTGCCAAGAAGGCCTTGTTGTGGCACTTTCAGTCTTAAAATCCCTTGCACCCCACTGGCGTCGGCGGATCGCGTAGCGATTTCAATAATGACATGATTGGAGGTTGGCCGTGCTCTTTGTGATGCTGCGCGGCGCTTGTGGACAAACATTTGCCCATGTGCGCCCTTACTCTACCCTAGAGACACCTGGGGCCTCAATGCAAACAAGCAAAAAGCGAATTCGGACTGCGGCACCAGGTAATGTGCCATCATACCGCCGTTGCTCTCACCAGTGACATAGATGCGAGATTGGTCAATGCACAAGACCGAGTTGATGGCTTGAATGACGGAGTAAATGAACAGCCGCTCGTCATAGCATCCAGACCAATTGCCTGACTTGGACATATCTTGCTGGCAGGAAAGGAGTCATGTTCCACAAAGTCAAACAATAAAAGGTCTCAAAGGGCAACCAAGAGGATTTAAAGCTTGCCGGCTGCAAGCTTCAAGACTGACAACATTTAACGCAATTTTCAAACACAAAAGCTGCTAACTCTGAAACATGTTGCACTGGCCGCACTTGCCTTGCTCCCAGCAGGATGCGTAACAATCTGGTGTCACCTCGTCCGCCACGCAGGTCTGGTCATCACCGGCGGTCCCCACATTCCAACCTGTGCCTAGGTCCCCTCCTCCTGGGACAGCGTCATCTAAACCTTGCGGATAAACGCTCACAAAGCCCAGGGTGCTGCCGAAGGAGCCGAAGTAGTGAGCGTTGGCATAGGTGTCTGCCTGGTCGCCCTGCGAATGAAGCCCGATCAGCAAGGGTACTGGTCCTCTGCGGAGTGAACTGCTGGGGACTTGGATGTAAAAGGACCGGTTCACCGCCACAAAATCCAAGACCGTGAAGGGCACCCATCCTTCAAACGCTGCCTCATCGTTGTGAGCACCCCAGGCACGCAGGCCCTTGCCGCCGCCGCAGCCGTCGGAAGGCTTGGCCGCACCGGGCAAGGTGCGACCCTTGAGTTCCTGAATCCAAGCGGGCTCAGAGGCCGAGCAGTGGGCAAGCAGCAGGCTTGCAAAGAACAAGGGCCGGGCTCCCGCCATTGGGACAGCCTAAGGGCCCGTGACTGAAACAAAACCAACGAAGCCTGGCGTTGTTTTTTGTTGTTCTCACCATGTAAGCCACTTGTTGGTGAGCCTACGCCAAGCCTGCATGAGCCCAACACTTCGGACGAAGCACCTGTCCTAAAACAATGACACTTTTTTGTTCAGCACTTCAAGGGAAGGCACGGGGGTGAATTCCCGAGCCCTCTCAAACGTCAATGAAAGTAGCAATGAAGCGATGCCCGTGAGAGATCCTTTTGACGAGGGGTTCTTACTTCAGGCCTTGAATCTTGCAGACCATTCAAAATTTGGATGTGTATCTTTCTGTTGTTGGTGGCTCTTCTTGTGTTTGTTGTTTGTTGGGGGGAGGGGGGGGGTGGGGGCACCTGAGTGGTGCCTTTCGGAGAACATTGAGCTTGCAATTTTCGTAGGGCAGGTAGTCAGGAGGCAACGTTGAACCAGGGCTTGTATATGGAGTAGGCTTTGGATTCACCTTCCGTCTCCTCTTGGCGCTCCGAAGAACCGACGCGCTCGGGTTCCGGCCACCCAGCTCTTCCACCCTCCGGCCCCGCTCCTCCAACTGTGCCTGGCCGCAAGCGAAGGGGAAGGGCAAGGCCGTGGGGCCGAGAAGTGACACGGGGCTTCAGCTGGACATGTCGGATATCAAAGCAAAAATGGCTCTGCGTTGCCGGGGTGTTTGATCCAACTGGCAAGAACTGTTTCAACTAAACAACGACGCATGCCAGCACCATCGGTCGAAACAGCAGCCATAGCAGCCTTTTCACTTCAGAGTGGGATGTGAGAAGCGCAACATGGCAAAGCTTAAATGCAAACATCCAGTCTTATGAGGCTAAGCGACAACGAGCTGCCCCCACTCGATTCAATGCAACATGCCGTTCAAGGCAACCATCCAAACTGGCGCGTAGACATCCGTAAGGCACTCACTTGGTCTGTGGAGGCAGAGGTCTTTTTTAGTGTCTTTGCGCGGTTCCAAATTTGGATCAAGGGTAACTTGTGTGCGGAGCATAATTTTGTGAGAAATGCAGAGTTGTTGCCTTACCTGACCTTGCCGGGTCTATTGATTTGTTTGTTGCAATGCTGGCAACGGACACGCGCACACACACTCACCCACACACCCGCACGCACACACACACACAAATACACACACAAATACACACAAATACATACACACACACACACACAACTATCCAAGACTCACCATGCGCGCTTTTGGCCGGTCGCATCATTGCACCCCAGCTCTGCATCACTCGTGAGGTAGGTCCTCGACGTAGCGGGTTGCTGCCCGCACCTGGCGCAGCGACATGCCGAGTTAGGGTCTGTTTGTGGGTGCATGTCAACGCAACACCAACACCCAACATACCCTTCAGATCCATGATCGGTTCGTTCACCAGGCGCCCCAGCTAGCAGAGGAAATCTCCCAGCCTGAGTGGATTGGCCAAAACAGGTCTGATGTTTTTATTTACCACTAAGATGGTCTTCCCAAAAGTTGCAAGCCCAGGAACTCAGGGAAATAGCGAAGAACATGCTCCTCGCCTTCGCCGTGTCGCTCAGGAACATGGAGCCAACGTACCTGGATTGCCCCAGCCGGAATTGATGGGCTCCGCGTACCGCCGTTCTATGCCTCCAGGCAAATCACACCTCAGCCTTGCGAAGAGCTGAATTACAGGCCAACAGTGGTGACTAGGTCTGCATCCACGCCACTTGCACCTGGGTGTCATTTGCTTGCGCCATGAGAATGCCCGATATCGGCCATTGAGATTTTTCACCACACGATGCAAACACATCTTATTGGGCCACAATATCTTAAGCATAACCAAGAACCCCATGCAGTGCGGGATTTGAAGACGAGTTATTTGCTCCACAGGCTCCTGGAACCGTAAAAGTTTCGGCATCTTCCATACTCAAAACTTGGTTCGATGGATTGGCCCTGGCTGGGTTGGTGGCCAAACTCCTGTCTCTCCCCTACAGTTGGGTCTATCCTTGAAAGCATGATGGAATAGACTTCATAAGATAGATATGGTACTGCTTTGTTTCAACAAAAAACGTAGAAAGAGCATATTACTCGTCTAGCATTGCATCAAGCTGTTAAAAGATGACGTGCAAGCATTTTAACATCTATCTCCCTCATGATTAATTAGGTCATTGCATTATTGTTTTATGTTGTTTAAACGACATGACAAAGATGATTCAACTTACGTTGTCATAATAAAACATACTATTGTGTTTCTATCTTGTTTAGGAACTCATGTTCACGTCGTATGCTCTCAGTAATGTGATCTTGTGAATGGCTTCGGGTTCCTCAATTGTGGCGTTGTTTCCCCCGGAAAAAAAAAAAAAAAAAAAAAAAAGTTTGTTTGTCAATCTTCTGATCTTGTCTGGCTCAGGCTAGGCTAAGCCTCGGAAAAATATGGGCCAAACAAGCTTGGCAAAGACGCCGTTCAAAAAAACACGGGCAAACAAACCGGGCAAGCATTACGGTTTCTTCGTGAAGTGGTCCCCAAACCATCAGATTTAAGAAAAAATCCTTACACAAATTACGGGCAAAAAGGCACACAACGGGGGTTGCCCACAAGGGCCCTGATCCTCTTTCATCTGACTGTTTTGGGGTTCTCTTTAGTGTCTAACCTTTTTAAGGGTTGCTGAAAAAAGTAGTTGGCAATACTAAAGTAGAATTGGCAATGCTAAAGTAAGTACTGGGAAGCTGACAGTCAGCCTTGGCAATACTAAAGTAGAATTTGCAATCTAAAGTACGTGATGCCCCCTCCCAGACCCCAGGACTAGCCTTTAAGAGGGTCCAGCGGTCCAGCTGACTGGTTCCACTCCTAAGGGGGGGGGGGTGGTGGTGTAGAGTGGGTCCAACATTACAATCCGCTGAGAACGTGCAATTGAATAGAAGACGAGGACGCCACAAGAAACAGGAGCTCTGTTCGAGCCGCATGACTCTCGCACTTTGGCACCACTCCGGCAATTACAAGTCCGAGCAGCCTACACGCCCTACAAATTGACATAGAACCAAAAGGGATGCCGCAAAAGGCTTCACGCGATTCTCCCGTGTGTCGCTTCCAAAAGCACCCGCTGTTCGGGCACGGCATCACCAGCGGCGGGGTCAATGCCAAGGGTCGCAAGAGTACCGGGATGTGCGGCTTCCACTCAAGCACCTGACCGAACTAATCTTCGCACGCGTCGTCCAGAAATGAGATAAGCGAGATTCTAGGCGGGACATTGACCACTCCGGAAAGGCGCTGTACCAGTTGTCAGCTAAAGACATTCCCGTTTGCCCCTATTTTGCCAATGTTCTTTCAGAAGCGTACTAAGCTTGCGGGGAAGGGACTAAGACAAATTCCAATCAAGACGCTGCCACCCAACACTCGCATCCCACACAAAGGGCATCGAAAAGACAATGGAATGGCTTCGAATGGCATTGAACCTCGGGGAGTTGCATAAAAAAGGTACTTCTGGGTCCCCTTGTGGGGCTTCATCACTTGAGGAATCACCCTATGAATAGGACGATGCTTCATAAAGCCATTATCTATTCTAAGAGCGTTCGCTATCTAAGTCTTCTAAGTGGATCCCGGAACCATAAACGAGGTTTTGTTAATCCGAGGTTTCCCTAATCCATATGAGTTCACCTAAGAAGCCCTGATGATTTTTTGGTAACCAACAAACACTGCTTTCCCATGGTGTCAACTTACAGGATTTCGTCCATCCACATTACGAGTTCCGTCCGTCAAAGCCGGCAGGACCGAAGCACCGAAGGCCTTGTCGTTGTAGAAAGTGTCGCCCCCGCGGCCCGCGGCCACGGAGAAGAAGTCGTCCAGGGGAACGAAGGCGCGCTGGCACGCACGGCCAAAGTGACATCCTCGAAATGATCCCGATTGATATTGATTGTTGATATTGGTATTGATATTGATATTGGTATTGGTATTGATATTGGAATTGACATTGATATTGATATTGGTATTGATATTGATATTGGTATTGATATTGATATATTGATATTGATATTGATACTGATATTGATATTGATATTGGTATTGGTATTGGTATTGATATTGGTATTGATATTGATATTGATATTCGCATTGGTATTGATATTGGTATTGATATGGATATTGATATTGGCATTGATATTGGTATTGATATTGATATTGATATTGGTATTGATATTGATATTGATATTGATATTGATGTTGGTATTTGTATTGGTATTGGTATTGATATTGGTATTGGAATTGATATTGATATTGGAAATGACTTTGATATATTCACATTGGTATTTATATATTGACATTGGTATTGATATTGATATTGATATTGGTATTGATATTGATATTGGTATTGGTATTGGTATTGATATTGATATTGGTATTGGTATCGGTATTGATGTTGGTATTGATATTGATATTGGTATTGGTATTGATATTGATATTGGTACTGATATTGAGATTGATATTAATATTGATATTGGTATTGACATTGATATTGGTATTGGTATTGATATTGATATTGGTATTGATATTAATATTGATATTGGTATTGATGTTGATATTGATATTGGTATTGATACATTGATATAGGTATAGATAAGATTGATAGTGAATAAATGAATAGAACGAGCGAATGACGAAGGAACACATGAATGGACAAATTTACCAGCTAGTCAATTACGTAGCGGTTTTAAAGTAAACCACCCCAAAAGGAGCTTTTAGAAAGGATCCTCCAGATTGTTCGCTGCAAAGTCCAGGAAACACAGCCCCGGAACCTCCACTTGAGCATCCAGCAGCGCTTTCGCAGCATCCAGCCGGATGATGTAGCCCACCTGGCAGACCAAAACCTTCTGCAGTCAGCTTCTGGGTTATGCTGGCCATGCCTGATACGTAGTGACCTGCCATGCTCAGTACTACTCCATATCCATCCATATTAGTCAGCGCACTACCGGGTGACCGCAGAACAGTAAAAAACCTACCTCCAAGCAGCATCATTCCAAAGAAGCAAGAATTCCAAACGCAACTCAGTCTTCAGACTTGTCTCTTTGAATGCGGCTGTTCAATCTAAGAAGACCGAACTCACATAACAGGAAGAGCTGGGTCCCGCTGGGTTCCATACAAAGATCAATATGGTCACCGAAGTGCACTTGGTGTACACCAACGAGCGCAAACATGTGCATGCAGTGTGTGCCCAAATGTGCATGTGCATGTGCATGTGCATGTGTGTGTGTGTGTGTGTGTGTGTGGTGTGTGCGTGTGCGTGTGCCTGTGCGTGTGTGCGTGTGGCCGTGGCTCAGAAAAATGTGCCAAAATGGAACCTTAATTAACAAATGGAATCAAAAACGAAAACCTGCGTGACCCCAGCTGTTTAATGTTGAGCCACACCCGTGTGTGTGTGTGTGTGTGTGCGCGTGCGTGTGTGCGTGCGTGTGCGTGTGTGCCGCTTGAATGACATGCGCCAGACCAGCAAAAGACTCTGGCGTTAAGGGATAGCAAGGATGGCCACCCCTATCCAGAACTCAAACAACCATGGTGGGTTTTTGATTGGAAACGCCATGCCTTTACGGAGCCTTGACTTTACCTTACAGATCTTCGATTGCCCTGTCACCCTAGGCAAAAAAGAGCCCTTTTGACGGTTGCTCAAGTTTGAGTGGGGAACCCACCCCCAAAAAATAGATTTCGAGGGTGGCCCTAAGTGAGCTGCCAGCCGCCCTCTCGCTCAACCCGCAGGTCGACCAAGCCGCCCCACCGTCCACAGCGTGTAGCCGGGCTCCACCACGTGCTCGCTGAGCCGTGACCAATCGGGCTCTGTGGGGCTGCGCCTGGGACACGCCCAGGCGAAATGAGTGTGGTCCCTTGGCGCTGTCCGGCGACCTGCTGAGTCAGCCGATTGATTCAGCCCCCATGGGCAGGGGACCCACTGCAAAGCAGCAGTGATGTTTAGTGACTCTCAGGAGCCGTAAGAAGGGTTATCCCTTGCGATGGGAATCACGCCAACGCCTGGGCATTGTCAATGCAAGGTTGGCTGGTCTTGGGCTACCCCAGCCCTAGAGAACATAAATACATTAAAGTTTCGCCGCAGCGTGAGCACCAGATCATCTGTGTCCCAGGCATTGGCCTGTGTTTACCGATCTTACCGGGCCAAAATGAGGAATATGGCGTCTCGGGCATGGAGCACGGGCTGGTCTCAAAGGGAAAACTTATGCGGACCACGCCGTCTAGGAAACACCTCAATGACCCCTAGAGATGAAAGCTGACGCCTCTTTGCCCCGGGCCCCACGTACATGAGGTTCCAGTCATAGCCCCGCGCCTGGCTATTTCGAAAGGGTCGTCTGAAAGGTGCCTTTCCTGTCACACCAACCTGACAAAGGGCACCCTCAAGACTACAAACGTGCACACGCTCAAAAACCCATATGTGTCTCTCCGTTCGCGGGCTTTGTGCGAGCCCATGCTCACCTAAGCCCAAAGAAAGCCCATAGGGGGCGCAGCGTCAAACCAAAGTCGTCCAGTGTCCCCTTGCATTTTCCAGCCTCAACCGAGCCCTATGAGTACCCGTCTCAACGCAAGAAAACAAATGATAGCCAATGCACCATGCCGTGAGGAACATGCACTGTTCTCCCTTGGCGACCGTCCGGGCCTAAGCTAGGAGAGCCAACCCAAGGCTTGTGTTCAAGCCCCGTCACTCCCAGGCCATGTCTCGCCGGGGTTTTGGGCATACTGAAAGACATGGAAACCACCTGTCGCGAAGTTGCTTCTTGTGAACAAGCTCGCGAACGGCGAGGTGGTTTGGCGACTTTTGTTGCCCAGCTTTGCCAACATCTAAGACCTGCCATACGCTGAGACAAGGATGTTGGCCAAGAAGAACTGCAACCGCAAACTGCAGCATTTCGTGAATCGAAGGAAAATGCGTTACTTCGGCTGCCTCCACAGCCTGCTAGCAAAGCCTTGCCGTGCAGGCCCGCCCTCGCAGCTTCTTGACAGCGCCAGGAGAGGGGTCTCAGAACTCCACAGCCCAAGTGCCTCCTCGAGGTACTCGCCCAGTTTGGACCTGAGAGACAGGTCGAAGGATGAAATCTGCGCTCCCTGTCCACACGGGCCACGGGGCCCAAGTTTTAAGTAATTCCCTCAATATCTGCACAGGATATGGCAAATTGCTTGCCATCCAAGCTCGACAGCCATCATGATCACAGAATTTCTCCAGCAATTGCGCGGCCGAGATACACAAACTTGCTGTTCGTTTTTCAGGTGGGTCAGGAAGTCGATGTCATTTCCGCACCTTTCTAGTATGGACCAAGCTCCCTGAAACAGCTCCTGCTAAACCCTTTGCAGTTCAATAGCAGGGCTTCCTGAGGCAACTGCGCAAAGTCTGGCTGCAGGTCGAAGTCATCTTCCAGAATCAAAGCAGCCGGGATATCGTTCCTTGACGCAAGGGACAACATGTCGAAAAAGGGGGAAGCCGTGGGTATTTGTGCCCCGTCTGTTGCGACATATGCTGGCCGAAGTGCAAGAGAAAAGGCTGCATGCACAGCTGGCGGTATCGGTATTGGCTGGGTGGCTGGTCGACACTGCCTCTCCATTGTTTCATCGAAATCGAACCGGTCGATTCATGTGCTCGCGCCGTGTGGAGCAACGTTGAGGAGGGCTTTGTGATGGGCACACTCAAGCCACGCACAAGCATACAACTTCGTGGAGGTGTGCCCGGGATTGACCTGTACCGTGTTGCTGAAACAATATACCGAGTTTGCAGTCATTATGTGTCAGCCCGGTATGCTGCCGGTTTGTTCCACAGTTGTACACCTAAATGTTCGCACAAAGCAGCAACAACTCACCACATATGCTCCCAACAACAAACATGGAAGTGCACCGACCGCTTTTGGAAGACTGCAGTCCTATCAGAAAGATCGTCTGCGCTCTTGCATGTTGCTGCGAAAGAGTAATATCCCGAGGCCAACTCGTTTCCCTGACACATCACCAAGAACTTGGCTCCCGGCTGAACCATGTAGTGCCATATGGTAAAGTGGCTCATAAAGCACCCCACCTGCATCAAATGCTTTGGCGGGCGTGTTTTGCAGCGCGGCAGGGCAAGCGTGCTGACAGTGGTCGTTTGGCCCTCCTTGTGTGCTTCCCGAGTTGGTCGCACTTTTTATTTCGGGACCCGGTGGACGTTTACATGCGGAACTATGCCCAAAAACCACGTTCAACTGCTTTCCACATTACAGATCATGGCCAAACGACATACTCTTGATACCAAAGGCCTTGCCAAAAATAACAACATACTCCACTTCGGAGGCCAAGGCTCCACTCCCCAGCTGCCCAAGTTGCTCACGTCCCTTCTGGGTGATTGCAGCATCTTGTTGCCCATGTTTGTGTGTTTCCGAAAATAGGACCCCAACAAATTGCTAGTGTGTTTTGGGCTCCCTTGAAAAGGACCAATTGAAAGGATGTCCAAATATTTCGACAAAAGCGCCAATTCTGCAAGTGACGCCTTCGGATACGTGCCCCCAATTCATGCCTTTAGACACCACTTCGAAACCAGACCTCAGTTTGCAGTGAAATACAGATTCGCTTTTGGGCGCGATAGTTAAGCCTCCGCGCGGCGAGGCGCGAGCCGCCTCGCCCGTGGTGAGGTGAATGTTGTGGTTCTTGTGGCCTTCGTAGCCAGGCACTGGAAGAATCCCAAGCCTGGCTGGGCGCTACGGAGGCAAACATTGAACTCGACCGAAGGGCCTGGAAGGCAGCTTTGGCAGGAAGGCAGTTTTGGGCGCAGGTTCTTGTGGGAGACTTGTAGGGAAGAATCCCGCATCATGGCCGTGAGCAAGCCGTGAAAATGCAATCTGGTGATCCACGGGTCTGGGGCCTACTCGGCAGGGATAGCGATGCATCTGCGTGAACCACACCTCATTCACCAATCCTTCGGCGGAATAGACTGAGAGATGCTCGTACCGTGGTTAGCACGCTAAGACATCTGACAGGGCAGAGTGGGAACCGTGGGCCAATTCGAGACACCTCTCAAACAAACAGCAGGATTTCGCGACATGACCACGGCCCAGGTTCCTGTTTCCAGGGGTCACTATCTCTGGGTCCGAGGATGTCCCAGGGTTCAGTATGTTTCCTTGAAACATTACCCTGCCATAAGAAATGCATATATAATCTGTATATATACATATGGCTATGATTTTTTTTAGGGGTCTGTAACGCGCGACGCGCCACGAATCTTGTTACGGAGGTCTGTAACGGAGGTCCTTGTTGCGCAGGTCTGTAACGGGACAAACATTTCCTGACAAGAAGTATCAGTAGCACAACGAGGTATGTAATGGCTATGAAACGAGGTCTGTAACGAGGCAAAGCAAAGCGCAGGACGCAAAGCGCGCCTCCGCAGCTCCAGCTTGATTGCAGCTACTCAACGCAAGCCAAGCTGCGGCAACAAGGGGGTCGCTGGCCCGGGCTGGGGCTGGGTCTGTAACGAGGTATGTAACGGCTATGTAACGAGGTCTGTAACGAGGCAAAGCAAAGTGCAGCACGCAAAGCACGCCTCCGCAGCACCAGCTTGCTTGCAGCTACTCAACGCAAGCCAAGCTGCGGCAAAAATGGGGTCGCTGGCCCGGGCTGGGGCTGGGTCTGTAACGAGGTGTGTAACGGCTATGTAACGAGGTCTGTAACGAGGCAAAGCAAAGCGCAGCACGCAAAGCACGCCTCCGCAGCTCTATTCAACGCAAGCCAAGCTGCGGCAAAAAGCGGGGTCGCTGGCCCGGGCTGGGGTTGGGTCTGCAACGAGGTATGTAACGGCTATGAAACGAGGCCTGTAACAAGGCAAAGCAAAGCACTTGATTGCAGCTATTCAACTCAAGCCAAGCTGCGGCAAAAGGAGGGCAGTCACGTCACTGGCCCGGTTTGCTCATCTGAGGTGTGTAACGAGGGTGTGTAACGAGGGTGTGTGTAACGAGGGTGTGCAACGAGGGGTGTGTAACGAGCCAGCTGGTTTTGTTACAGAGGTCTGTAACGAGGTCTGTAACGAATGTCCGCCGCGGCTCTGTTACAGACCCCTCAAAAAAATTCACTGCCATATGTATATTTATTATACATTTGACAAGGGCCCAAATGGTGAAGTCCAAATCAACCAAAACGAACCTCTGCTGACCCAAACATAACCAATTGGGAGAACCCAGCGGGCACCACTTTTTCCGCTTTCCGCCAAAGCGCCCTGTACAGTGAGCCAGGCATTTCACGCTTTCAGGCAGGGTCCGGCTGGCTGATCCTTTGGTGCTGCCCCTTTTTTTTGCGACCAGCTTGGCGTGTGGAAAACAAAAACCAACCTGCAAATTGAGGGGCCCAGACATTTTCATGTTCTTTTTTGGCGGGGCTTGCTAGCAAAGATGGGAATGTGTGTCAAGCACAGGACTTGCTTGGCTTTGCAAGAACCAAAGCACAACACATCACAAACAGCAATCATTTTTGGAGGACTCCCCTTTTGGCTTGAGCCCCTCTTGAATTCCTTCCAACGGCTTCATGGCACAGGTGGGAAGCTCCGGCAATCAAGTGGCAGCATTCACCGGCCGCTGCATGCCTGAAACGCGACTGCTGCACATGATGGCCCGCAGCAGCTGGGCGGTCGTGGTGCCTCTATGGCTTGCCGTCGAGCCCGTGTGGGGGAAAATCAGGTGGCCCCCCTAAGTGTCTGGGCTGTGCAGAATGACAGCTTGCCCCATCCGATCCGATGTTCCGTAATCCCTTTGGAAGAACACAACAATGGATCGATTGTGTATCCCACAAGGAAGACTGAAGATTTCCATTGAACAGCCCCCGCCAAGGGGACCCCTGTAGAAACCCTATGTACAAGGTCATGCCCGCGATTCTGCTATGGGAGCATCACCGCCAGCCACCTTGGGAGTGTGTTGCAGGGACATCCGGTCACCATCTGTCAGCGCTTTTCAGTACTACAATTCAATACTAAAGACATAAGAAGTGCCAACAAAGCCAATGCCTTTGGCATCACACTATACGCACTTCCTCACAGGTATTGTGCGTGCCGAGCTTGCAAGGTGAACATCATGTTGGCACATGAATCAAACGAAGGCAGAAGCACTCCATATAGATTCCGTGCAAGCTGCCCGTGGTGGACACTCCAAACCACACCCTGCTGAAAGAACAGGTCTTACAAGACATACAAGTGCCACAACTAACTTACACAAAATGGTCGACTCAATCACAAAAAGAAGCGCGTCTCTGCAAGCTTTTGAGTTGTGGTTCTCCCTCTGATGAATGAACACGGAGCCTCAAAGGGGACTGCTTGGACTTGTTTTTGTTTCAAACTTGGGCGCTGGCAGGCTAATCTGGTTCCTCAATCCTTAATGGGACATTGCGAAACCACTACCATCTGCCACTTGCTTGATGCATGGGGGCCTTCGGCTGCCCAAATACATAACTTTAGGGATGAGACTGAGTCCAGCTTGGACTGGACCCCCGGTGCCCTGCACCGAAACCCCAAAAAGAAGGTCCGAGGTGCGCATCAAGCTGCCGTCCCCGGGTCCACCTGTCAAAGGGCCTCCCCCTTCAACGGTGGAGGGGACAGAGTAACTCCACTCCGATGGAGGTCTCTACTGGCTTGCCCCAAAAACGAGGAACTCAAGGGTTCAACTACGGATCAGCATGCCGACAATCAGAGAGAGCACTGGGCAGGTGTGAATATGAACGGCTGTTTGTTGTAAGTAAATGAGGTTGGAGGCGCATGTCTTGCACAATTCTCTACCAACATCAAGCCTGTAGCTTGCGTCTGCTCCGTGAGCGGCCACAGAACATAACCAACAACTCAATGGGGTCCCAAGGCAATTCACATGCATAAAAAGGCTCATTAACAAAACATATTTTCGTAATGACATGATTCGCCAACTTGAAACATCCCATTCGATACAGCTGGGTTCGATTTTACCTCTCTTTTCTTGGTCACGTGCTATTTACCCTCAGTACCGCTTCCATGGCACGCCAAGCGCCCCTCAAGTGCCACGTCAGCAAAATTGGAGGTGTGGAAAAATAAGAACACTGCGACACCCATCCGACACCCAACAACTATTCGTCTGTGTTTCCTTTTTGGGACGTTTCCAAGGGTATAGGATAGTTGACCAATCCTTTGTTGGTCTAAGTTTGAAACTTAGCTTCGGAAGCGCTGAGTGCCTGCAGCCGCTTGGGAAGGTCCGCTGACCACACCTGACGAGGGGCAACCCAAGGGCATTTCCGACCGAGGATAATGGCTTCAACAAGGCAGCTGTCTCCACCAACACCACCAACACCACCAACACCACCAACACCACCAACAACACCAACACCAACACCACCAACACCACCAACACCACCAACACCACCAACACCACCAACACCACCAACGCCACCAACACCACAAACACCACCAACACCACCAACACCACCAACATCAACACCGCCACCGCCACCACCGCCAACACCACCAACACCAACTCCGCCGCCGCCACCACCGCCAACAACGGTGGAGGGAGAGATCCTCGCAATCCCCTGGACCTTACTACAACCACCAGGGACACCAAGGACGCCAAGGGCACCAAGGACGCCTGGGGCGCCAAGCCTGCGGAACATGTTGCGCTTACCAAGGCCGACTATACTCACAGGAATCATCAGCAGTCGAACAAAACGCACATACAAACACCGCCAGCATGCGCCCAAGGTGCTCAACTGTGCCCGCCTGGCTGGCTGCATTCTGCAGAGCTCAGGGTAGCAGCATCACCTGGAGCGACATCCCGGAGTGTCTCGCAACTGAAGGCTCTGAACAAATGGTTGCACTTGATGTTTACGGCACGAGTCTCCAGTTTCAGCAAGGCCTGACCATGACACAAACAAAGGCTGTCTCTTTCTTCGGAGTCCAGAACGGGAATCTGAAAATACACGTTGCTCGCAGTGGTTCGTGCGCCCCATGTCCGCTCGTCCCAGGTCTGCCGAGCGTCTGGGATTGAAATCGACGGTGGCCTGCGCGCAACCTGGCCCGCGAGAGAAGCACGGCGGAAGCCGCCCTGGAATCACTTCCATGGTTCAAGCCACCAATAATTTGGGTGAGGGTGTGTCTCAAGGAACCTCCCCAAATTGTGGCGCTCTCTCTCTCTCTCTCTCTCTTTCTCTCTTTCTCTCTTTCTCTCTTTCTCTCTTTCTCTCTTTCTCTCTTTCTCTCTCTCTCTCTCTCTCTCTCTCTCGCTGCCGCACCATCGGTAAGCCGTCCATCAGAGGTGGGGTGCCAAGAGCCTGTTTCAAGCCAATTTTGGTTGTCTTTCCCCTGTAAACCAACCGCAAAAAGTGTACTCTTAACAAAAAACACACCCTTTTTGGGTTCAATGATTCAATGACCTTGCTGCCCTGAAACCCTTCCATTTGGTTGCAGTGGTCAACAGCGACACTTCTCCCATCCGCCTTCTGCAAATGGTATGGCACCAGTGTCACCTGCAGAACACATGCGCTTACTACTTGCACAACCACCCCCCCACAAGGCCAGCGTATTTTGATATCCCTCTGCCCTGCCAGGGAGCAACAACATAGGCGCTTGAAAAAAAGCAATTTTGACGCCGTGCTAAAACTAAACGAGAACCACAACTCCAAAAACGAGTCGGCAAGTCAGCTTTGGAAGCATCATGAATGCAAATCTTCTCATGCATCCACAAACTCCAACACATGAACATGCCCTCTGCGGAGTCAACTGTGTCGCGCCCATTCTTTGTTGCCAAGCAACAGCCCGGATTGAAAGTGGCGGCAGCCTGCATGCCAGCACCTGCCACGGCACGGTTTCCAGCTATTCTTGGGCCTCCTTCACTGACTACCAGGGTTCGCAACCAGAAAGAAAGGATCCCCAAAACAAGCTCAACCTTCATGAGTCCCTCAGCCCTAGCTTGCACTTGTGTTTTCATTTCAGGGCGGCCAGCCTTGGGAAACGGGCAGTTGCAACCCGGGTTCTCATTTGGAGGCCCGCTGGAAACTGTGTCCGAAATGGTCGGGGCATGCTGGAGACTCACTAGGCTCGCTTTCTTCTTGACTGCCCACCCGCCAAAAGCGCCGCCCGCCCACCTTCCATGCAGTCATGGCCGGCAAACGCGGCATCACCTGCAGCGATCAGCACAGGTCACGTTCCGGCTGTCAAAATCAGAAGCCCTTTCACAAAATAACACCAAGCCAAAAAGTCGAACCCCCCTCCAGCACATCGGCCTTAACATCTAACACGCCCAGAGCCGGCGAGGTCTTGACACCGGCCAACCCCATCTGCTGCCAAGCGTCTGCACGGGTTGAAGTGTGCAGCTACCTGCATACCAGGACCTAGGTGTCAGACCAATACCCCGCCATCCTGGAGCCACATTGCTTGGGTGTTTCTATGATTTGTCGGCATGTTAGTATCATCTTGGACCAACAGTGGGCTGATATTGTGTTTGCGTTCGTGTTGTTGTTTCCGTATTTTTCCTGGCGTGTTTTGCTGCAAGTGTGCGTGCAGTTCTCGAACCAACCAGTAGTGCCTCTTGTTGGAATGCATCCCGCGCTTCTTGGTTTGTTACCAAGCGATAGCTGTTGGCCCACACACACACACACACACAGTGAGACGCAAAGACACTCACACACAAACGCTCACACACTCACACTCACAAACACGGCGAGCGCACAAATTTGATGTCAGAAAGCTCGAGCTGTAGTCCCACCTCCATTAATCGAGTTTTCACAATAAAGGACAGGGAAACCCTGGATTGTCAAGAATGTCAGGGGCCAACCTGAGCAAATTCCTTCTGCTGGGAGATTGCAAGGGCCCTGCCGACCGCAAAATCCCAAAGCCGCTGCCCACCTAGTGCCATGCTGCCTGCATAGCTAGGTGCCACTCCCAGATCACCTACAGCAGCGGGCAAGGATTGAGGAGGCCCAAGACTTGCCGCTAACAATTATGCCGCTCCAAAACAGGGCCCAAAACCGTGTAAGACAACATGTGAGTGGCTAGTGGCCGGTCCTTACCTGAGGGCAAATCTAAGACTTTGGTCGTGGTCAGGCATGCAATCACGCTGATCATCTTGCTATGCAGTACCATGCAAGTGTTGCCTCAAAACCAGCTATGCCAAAATGAAACGCACATGGCCGTGGGTCCCCTCGAAATCATTCCTCTGCACCTTGTGAGATTCCCAACCTACACTGAGATTAAGCACCGTTTCTGGTGTGACCCCAAGGGTAAGCTCGCCATCCTTCCATGTGCTTAAGCCCCCTGAACAAAATATTTCCAGTAGTGACAGATTCCCTTTAAAATCAATGAAGGAAAATAAAGCATGTTCTTTAGCAAATGGACGCATATGAGTGCAAACCCCCGCCCGCTGCCTGAACACCTGAAACTCACTCGAAAGAACCCTTAGAAGTCACACTGGCCCTACCTTAAACCCATGGCCCATGCATGGCCCTATTCATGACCAGAGGCCCAACGCCCCAAAGCAAGGCTTCAGCCAGGTCAGGTCTGAACATGGCCAAGCTGCGCGGGTTGCCCGCAGCGGAAGTGCCAGCGCCTGACAGCCCCAAGCACCAGTTGCCCTGGGGCATGTCTTCACTTGGCCAGGCTTTTTGTTTTTATTACCAAAAAACATTTGGAACCTCGACTAAAACAGTCCGAAGTGAGACAAAGGTCGAAAGCTGGGCTTTGGGCAAAGGAGTGCCTGACTTGCGGAGCTTCAGCTTTCTTCTGACCAGAGGTGCCAAGCAGAAGCTGGCAGACGAGTGGGCTGGCAAGCTGAGACAGGGCCAGCCGAAAACTGGCCTTACTTCGGACACAAAGAAGTGCGATAATGTCCAGCCAGTGAGCATTACCGAGAATGTGCCCTGGAACATTTCCGCTTGCCGAAACCTAGACCGCTAAGAACTGACCCGCAGGCAAGGTCGCTGTGCAAACATGGTTGGGCTCGGTCCAACGGCGAGCCCGCGCACGCTGAAAACAAGAAGGTATGAAGCTCTTTGTCATGCAGATGACCTAGAAGTTGCACAAGCACAGGATATCGGGCCTGGGCCCCGTTCAAGGCTCCAAGGGACTCCTGGCGAGCCCATGCCAAAGGGGACCCTTGCCTATGACCCTTGCCTATGACCCTTTCACACAGGCAAACACGCCGAACATCCCCTGGAATGAACTCTGCTGATTTGCCAGGTTGTTTCAGGAGCATCGAATTTCAAAGGGGGGTCTGCTTTTGGAAAAAACTGGCAGCATGTTTTCTAGATCCGCCGCTCTTTCAGCAGTGGCCAGGGCCTCAAACGGTCCTCTGGGCGCTTTCTTCCGGCTTCATTATTTTGATCAAAGTCACCCCTAAGTGGTGGGTCAAAGGGAAGTAACCACATTTTCTGACTTTGACTTCCCTTAGAAACCCTCAAAATTTTTGACCCCAGTTCTTTACAACCCCGCAATTCTGGCGCCTCCGTGCACAGCTGCCATGGGGTCCACGTAGAGGGACTCCGCCGTTCCACGGGCCAGGCGGGTGCCCAGTTCCTTGCTGGGACCTTTGGGTGGTGGCGGGAGCGCCGCAGCGGCCTGGCAGGTGATCTTTGGGTCCGGCGAAAAGAATGACCCTAGTTCCAGTGAGCCTGGTGGAAAAACACAACCAACTCTTTGATTCTGGGTTGACCTTGGCGGATCTCTCTCTCCTTATGCGGGGCTTGGGACGATCTTCGGGGGACTTGGACAAACATAAAAAAGCAGCAAAATAACATCATCAATCCTGAAAGTTCACTTCACACATCCGCAAGCGGGACTTCGGTGAACTGCCCTCTTTGATTCTTTGCCGTCAACCTGGCCCCACATGCTCATTTGGCCTTCTGACGTGATATGGGAACTTGACGGATTAGAAGAAAGCACTAGGAAGCAAAGCCGCTTCCTGGAACAACGAGTTTGCGGTGTGTAACATCAGGCTGTCCAGGCGTTAGCTGCAGTCGCTAAAATGACACACCTGCCCTTTGCGATCACGTACCCCCCCCCAAACAGAAAAGAAAAGAAAGAATAGCACGATTCTCCGGACCAGTTCCCCGTCAAACCACAGGCAAGATCATCTGTTTCTTCCCATCCCTCGCCTTGCATAAGAGAAAAGAGGGTGCGTGCCATGGGGCACAGCCCCGAAGAACAGGTCCAGGAAGGTACCCTGTTTCCAACACCAAAAAGCTGCTTGAACCTCGGGACACCCAAGAAATGGGTATGGGTCAAAATTGAACCACCAGGGGACCGCAGGTTTTGGTCCATGTTTCCATTTACCAGGATTCCATTTGGGGTACATATGCTTGACTCACAGTCAAATCCAAACTAAAAGCCTGACGCCCAACAAAGGCCATCACTGCGATTGCCCCCCGCTTTCCCGCCTCTTGCTTGGGCCGTCCCGTGCTGAAATCCAGCTGCGACACGTCCTGGTCCGGCGCCCCGTGCTGACGCCAGCGTTGCAGCGCGGTGTCGTAGTAGAATCCATTCCTCGCCGAAAATGCCGAAAGTAATATGAGGGGTTTTGCCGCCCAAATGAAAACACACACACACACACACACACGCACAATGAGGCAATCCTCTTTGGGTCGGCACCTTAGAACCTGTCCCTTCTCCCCGAAAACGAACGATATTGGTACGTAAACGGTCTGAACTTAAAGTGAAACCACTGGAATCAGCCATGGCGGGCCAACAAGGACACCTCTATGACACCTCTATGACACCTCTACCTGCCTCTCGGAAGGGCAGGTCACAACGAAAAACCGCGGCTCGCGCCGTTGCCAGCGAGGCTCTCGGGCTCTTCCAGCTTGGGCTTCCGGAGAAAGCCCAGCAAGCCCGCGCCTCGGCTCTCAGATGGCTGTGGTTCTTTGAATGAAGCTCTTAGGGGTTCCAGCCACGAAAACAGTGGGCACTACTATAACCACCAGTGTGTACCCAAAACAATGGGCGTCAATATAACCACCAGTGTGCACCCAAAACAATGGGCGTGAGATTACACCACCAGCGTTTGCCTAAGGATTTTCATCAACCATTCTTGTAGCGGGGGTTGAAACACCAGGGTACTGTGGATGAAAAACACATCCTGCACCGGATGAAGTGGATGAAGCCCTATGAACGCTGGGAGAAACCACTTACCAACTCGCGCAGGATTTTGACCATCCACAATGACATCCAGTTGTTCAAGCCAAGAGTGCCAGCTATAACTTTTGACCTCTAAATAGTCTCTCTGTCTTTTGAGGGTATTTTGAAGATATTTCAATTGCTCTTTCATGGGGCTCGCCAGGAGACAAACCCAGCACTCCTAGCACCCTGGCAACATTTACCCACCAATACATACCAGGTAAAGGTACCCTTAGAACTCAGACCTTGGCAAGCTTTGCCAATTTCTGTCAGTTGCCCCAAGTATATGCTGGACTCCGTGTTTCTGAACAGGCGCACGCAGGCCCAGTTCTTTGCAAGTGCTGCTTGAACATCGCGCCAACTGCTGCATGCCAGTGCGCGCCAGTTGAGTTGAGACACTGGGAGATCAGCGCTGCGGCCAAACATCCAACAACTAGGGCCACTTCTTCACAAAGCGCTTGTAGTGCCGCTCTTCCAGCGTTTGCATGAGTGCCGCTTTTCCGGCATTTTCCCTCAGCACCCCGCCTCAACCCACCCAGCTCCGCCGCCGAGCCGCCCAAGGACCGCACGCCGGCCACCAGCGACCCCACCACCGAGGCCTTCGGCTCGCTGAAGCGAGCCGCGCTTCGGCCCGCGGCGCCGCTTCGGCCCGCGGGCGCCAGCGCAGACGGTGCAGCCCGGCCCACGAAGACGAGGCCGGTCTGATTTACCTGCGGGAGGTGGGAAGGAAGTGGTAGGTGTTTTAAGAGAAACCCTGTTTTTTTTTCCCAAGGTTCCTACATAACATGTCTTTTCTAAGTATCCCCCCGCCGAAGGAAAAATACTTGGCAAGGTCCAAGAACTCTTTTGACAAGAGCGCCCTCTACAAAGGATGCAGGTTCTGCCTGGTCACCAGGTCATGCTACAGCTGCAGCTTACCCTGCGTGAAAGGGCCAAGGGCTTTGTGGAATGTTTGTAATTGTAACGGGTAACGGAAATGACATACTTCAGAGTGGCATGATCAGCGTCAGCCGAATGGGCGGAATCAACTGCGCTGCAAAACATGCTTATCATAATGGATACAAGTCGAGCTTCATTGGGATTGCGACCGCGGGTGTAGAGGCGCGGCAACTCCGCAAAAACATCGTGCACTGATGGGAGCATGTATCGATGTGGCGTTGTTCCCAACAAGAATGAAACACTGCAGCTGCTGGCCTGCAAAACAATCAATCACGGAAAAGATATGCTAGGTTTTGACCCATACCCAAATCATCGCATTCCACATGGGCAAGATCCTTTCCACCCCGGATTCTGTCAATTTGCCAAGTTGCCTCGGCCACCCGCTCGGATGGAACGCGCCTCTCCGCCCACTCCTGCGCAAGGGACATGAACTTCGAAACCAACGAGAGGCCCTGAGTCTGCAGAAGTGAATGCTGCTCAGAACGTCTGCAGGCCAAAGTTCAAGCCTTAGGCACGATGTGAGGGCCGATTCAACTAAGGCGACAGGTACCAAATGCTTTCGCTCGAAGGGAGCAGGCTGTTGCAGCTGTCAATGGCTAGAGTGGCCAGGGTTGGCAGCGTGTCAAGCGCTCACATGGAAATTGCACCAGGCTTCGAAGCCGCTTGAACAAGACCATGGACTTAAGGGAGCCTGAATGAGGATGCCAACGCAATAGTGGCATGCTTCAACAGGGCTGACGAGAGATCAACAGCAGCAGAAACAGTTCGAACTGTTCGGCAGCGACTAAAATCATGAAGAAGCCTACTTCAGTTTTGACAAGTACCCTTATCTTTTCACAAGCGTAGCACCTCAAAGATCCATTCCTCTTGAAGCGGCCATTTTCTTGTTAGGTGCCACGGACTCCGAGGCCTGGCCAAACGCAGAAACACCCTGCTTCTGCAAAGTACCGGACCACCAATTAACATGGAACCTGACGTTTGCCAATCACGGAAAGCGCCCTTAATAATGTGGGAGTGTGGTTGTTTGTGCATGTGTGTGTCAGTCAAAATGGTTGGACCAAACAAAATGGTTGGACCAAACAAAATATGGTGTCGTTCAAACATATTTTCCGTCTACACTAGCCTAAATGGGGTAAGCTTGCCAAAAGAAAAAACACCTTCACACCTTTTCCACAACTGTCTTTCCACAACATCCACAACCATGAACTCTCGTTTTACACTTCCTCCCATGCTCTCCCCCCCACCCCTCTCCCCCCAAGGCTAGGTCCTGCAAGCTCACGCCCGTTGGCAGTCCCAAACGCCTGACCCCACAATGAATCCCAAAAAGCGGTTCGCAGATTATTGACATCTTCTTTGATCTATGTAAAGGTTCTCTTTGATCCATGTAAAGGTTGCAGCAAAATGGGGGGGGGCAACCCCATTTCACATGTGGGGGGAGGTCCTTTCAGCTTTGTTTGCAAGCTTGCCGAAACAATACCCTCAGGTCTTCATGTGGATAGGAGTTCGAATTCTGTGTGTCGCCTGGCTCTTTTTACCACACCTACCATTGAACTGTTTGGCTGCAATATGAGTTAGCCCGTTCAGATCGTCCCTACAAATCTACTCGTCGTTGTGTAAAAGTCCAACAAGTTGGGGGTGATAGCAATCTTCACGCCACGGAATGGAATAGTTTGGCTTCCACCAAAGCACTTGGCTGGTAAACATGTTGCATCGTGTTCCCAACCCCCTTCTGACTTGTTGCACCGGTGCCCAACCAGTACTATCCTACTACTTTCATGATTGTGAGACTTTGGCTTTTGGATGATTTTTGGTTTGGCACTGTGGTCATGTATTGTTGGGAAGAAGACGTTCTACCTATTTCAGCCGGCAGTCAAACTTTGGCCAAGCATGTTGTTTTGCCGTTGGTAGCCCGGCATTGCCATCTTCATTGCCGGCAATCACCTGGCTCAGTGAAATGTAACCAGAACATAGTCAGACAATCGGGCCTGCAGACGAAATGGCATTGGCTCCAGAATCGTGCACCGTCCAAAACCCTTGTGACGGAGGGGGACGTGGGCCAAAATTGGGGTCTTGAGGCGCCCAATTCCGTTAGCCATGCTCGTAGAAGCCACTTCCAGCTTTGCCCCTGACCATCTGCATGCATGATCAAGCGAAGGAAGACTCTTTCTCAGCTCGCGGCAGCTGGACATATTTGCTTTGATTAATTAAACACTATTGCCGGACGACTTACGTCCCACTGGTGGTATCGTTCTCACCTACCCGCAAAGAACGAGCCAGCTTCTGCATATGGGTCATCCATGTTTTCAACGTGTCAGTCTGTGCCTCTTCTTGCCAGGCCAGCTCAAACATGAAGGGGAATTGGTCTATGTATAGGTAGTGTGGGCAGCTACAACTCCACGAGATGGCGAGCAGCTTCAGCGTGGAGACTATTTCAGGCTCGCCCTCATATTCCTTCCACATCTGACAGAAGCGCGGTCTAATGAGTTGCTCCGTCACCATGACTATCTCGCTCCGGATTCCCGGCTTTTGCGCCTCCTCGACCTGCGACAGGTTGAAGCTGCATTCCTCTACGTCAAGAATCCAGCTCCATAGTTCATCTACTTCCTTCGCCGCCTTCTTCTGCCCTGCCTTCTTGGAAAAGTCTCGGCATGCCACTTCAAGCTGACCCAACAAAATCCAAGACTTGGGAAGGTATCGCATCCAGTACTCAAGGTGTTCACCATCATTTCGAGGAATATGGTCTAGGTCCAGCTTGAAATCATAAGCCATGGCAAGTGGCTCTCGACGGCTCTGGGACGCTGTTGAGCCGAAACACAGCCACCCAATTTCCATGCACACAAGCACCTGCTTGAGCAACCATGGGGTTCCACCAGGGTTGGGCCAACCCCCTGTGTTAACCTCCTTTAGGTTTCTCTTTCGGAAAAGCCAAGGTCTGACTACTGAAGCCCAACTTGACCAAGCCTGCTCCACACCCAAAAGGGGCAGTGCCACGGTCAACCACTTGATACGGGCCATGGTCATGGCCACCTGCAGGAGTCCAGCCGTGGTTGTCTCAGTTCCGAAAGGGTTGATGAGCGTGCCTACCCCCTTCAACATCGCAGCAAGCGGAACTCAGATACAATTGGTCCAACAAGTGATGCAACAAAAACTGGCCTAAGAGGGACATAAAGGGAGCGGTGTCCAAGTAAACTCGGTGGATGGCCCAAAGAAAAGTCCACACTTTTTGCTTTGCCAGTAACATGGTCTTCCCTAAAAGTCCGAAGTCCATGAACTCAGAAAGTATGGTAAAGGAGCAGATGGAACAAAGGGAGTCAGTCGTGCCCAAGTAAAGGAGCAAATTACTGCAAATCGTGCCATACCAGTATCTTCCTAAGTCCGATGTTTTCAGCCTTTTCGTGGGATTGTTTTGTTGTTTTTAGGGAAGGTCGTCATACTTTTGCCTGGAGGCAATTTTCCAGAGTTTTTTTTGGATGTATGCAATAAATTGGCGGAGGCGTTTTTTCCCGATACAAAAGCGTTTTTTGGCGATACAAAGGCGTTTTTTGCCGAGCCCTGTTCTAGGCAGGTGTCCCAAAGGAGCTTTTTGAAGGAAAAGGCGCTTTTTGATGGAAACGACTAAAACTTATGTAGTTACGGCAAAAAGTGGAAATTCTCCACTCCGGGTTTTCTAGGTATGTCCAAAACAATCCTGAAAGAAGGGATCTTCCAAGGATCTTTGCCATAGCTCGAGTTAAACCCAGGCGAGCTCGCATGGCGAGGAACCGGGACACGCCTGGCGCAGTGCGCCACTTGCTGCAGCGCCGCCAGCAGCTCCGACTCGGACGCGCTGAAGGAGTCCTCGTGGCGTCTAAACGTTGGCTCTTTGGTGGGACTGGTGGGAGGCCTCCCCAGTTTGCGGAGACGTCCCCTGGAGAAAGAAACAAATCCCAGTAGCGGTAGCTTCCCTTTAAAACCAACAGTAGTTTTCTTAAACAATAAAAAACAAGTGTCTTGAGAAGTAAATGGACGGATACGTCATATACTCATAACCCCCCACAAAGCTCCCAAAGTTCAGAAGTCGAAGGCTATTGCTGGGAACCGCTGAGTGCGAGTAAAGAGTGAGATGTGGATGAACACAATCCACTTCGCACCAAACGGTGGGTGGCTTGTGCCTTAGGTCAGAGGGCTTCGTCCATGCCAACTGGTGCGCTATTGAGCGTGACCATCCGCAGCCTCTCTCTCCTTTTTCTCTTCTCTCTCTCTCTCTCTATCCTTTTTGCTTCTCTTTATCTGTGTATTTTATTTCTTTCATTCTTTCTTTCCTTCTCTCTCTCTCGCTCTCTCTCTCTCTCTCGCTCCCTTGCCGTCGGACTCTGTCCCACTGACGTGGTCCATTCGCAGTACGCGGGCGTGAATTTAAGCGGGAACCCTTTCGTGCGCTCATTGAATTGGAATGGCAAGCAGTAGGCCCTGCTCCCTGGCTCCGAACAACTGAGCAACAGCTTCTGGCTTCTTGACAATTGACAGCCCGCCCGAAACGTGTTGCGTCCCTTTGGTTTGCACTTCTACACTGGACCCAGTACCTCCACTTCCACTGCCAAGCATCTGGCAAAGCTGCAAAGAAGCGCTCTGCTACCACCGGGTCGCGGGCCAACATGCCACCAAATCTGTTGGCTTGTGGGTTGGCTTGGCTGGCTGGCTGGCTAGCTGGCTAGCTGGCTGGCTTGCTGGCGGCTGCCTGTCTGCCCAGCTGGTGAACCAAACAACTTTCAGAAGACTTGGCTACAACAGGTGTGATAGCATCAGGCTCAGTTGTATTTCTCTTGTCTCGGCCTCACAAGTGTCTGCATCTGGAAGATGGGCAAGCGCACAGGGCGGTGTGAACATTAACGCAGTCATCAAGTCAAGCCAAGCCTCAAAGCACTGCCAAAACAAGTGCAAGCCTGCGTGGCCCCTTGACATCTCGGCTGGTACTGTATCTCTTGTTGGTTCCCATGGGGGCCTTTGAAGGCGTGAGCGTCTAGTCGAGCCAATGTCGGCGGAGGTCACGGGTCAAGGGCAACACGTAGCTCCTGAGCTACGAATGGATCTGTTCATGTCAAATCCCACAAACTGAAATGGCACAACTATCCACGACTGCATGGGCTTTGATCTTTTCGTCGGCAAAGGTTGCCTTTGACTCACACATTGACTCCCCCCCCGCAAGCTGCCATGCAATCAGGGTACTGAAAGCACAAGTAGAGCAACATCCAGCTTAATGAGCAAACAAGCAATGTCTCGCAAAAAGAACGTATCTTCTTTCTCTTTCCGTGTATTTCCATATGTCCCTGAGTGGCTGGCGGATATGATGTGAGACGTACAGGCATGCACATATTGAAACCGCGGACATTGTGTAACACTGAAACGTCGCCTCCTTCGCAGTTCAAAACGCTGGTGATGAGGTTGGGCGTTGGCTTCGGCCCTGTTTCAGGGAAACCAAGAGACATCTAATCGCAGAGGCAGGTCAGCCTCCCAGACTACCAGTGGCCATGGTAATTGATCTTACAGGCAGGCCTTCTCCAGAAAACGAAAAAGCCCTAGAGGTCCGAGGCCTCTTCCAAATAGCTCACCTCTCTAGGTGACCATTTGGCAAAACAAAAAACGATGGATCACTGGTAAATGAGTAGAAGAAACCCGAAACCCATGCGATGCTTTTTGAGCCCAACTGACTTGAAAAAGACCCCGGTGTTGTCAAGCCCTGACCCCCCGTCCCACCTGCTCAGCTCGCTCTGGCTACGGAAGCCATCACCATCTACCGCATCGACCTGAAGCGCAGCGTTTTACTGGGCTGCCCTCAGATCTCCTGCGACAATTTAGCATTTAGTGGTTTAACTGGATATCCTACTGAACCCCGAAAAGCTAAATTTGAAAAAGCTAAGAGGATGGCTGGGAGCTACCAAGCTTTGTCATGGGAAAGTGCCCCCTTGCAGATTGACATGGGGCGCACTTGTGGGGAGATCACCTTGTTTTGGGGAGGGGAGGGGGCACTTGTTTGATTCTGCATGAATTTGCAGGGGGAGTAGCTACCTCAGCAATTAAACCGCGATGATATGGCACGTTTGGCTTTTGGTCAATGATGTAAGTAGTCGACCTAAAAGAGGTCCCAGGCAATTATCATACTTGCACACTGATTCGTGCGTGCGGTAATCGCTTTTCCTCCTCAGGTACGCCAGAAATGGGCGTCGGTTTTTGAGGTTACCCTTGTTGGGTTGGTATAAATGGAAACCAAAAGGAACACACCATTTTGTGAGTTCACCGATTTTGAGACACACCCAATACAAGTTGTGCTCCACGTATTGCTCTTGGAAAACGAGATGAGCAGCGGGTAACGCATGGTGGGATAGGCCCCGGATAGCCCGCCACATTGTCCCTGGGTCCAGGGCTATGTTGGCACGAATGCCTTCCCGGTACAGCTCCTCAGCTGGCGCCACGGGTGTTTCAAAGACAGGAAAGTTGCTAAAAAGGCCAACCCGAGCAGCGAACTGAAGAGGTAGACAAAACGAGCAACGCTAGGGATCCAAGCGGTGAAACATGGTGTCCAAAGTCAGGCTCTCGGCTAGATGTTGCTCTGGCTCCAAAATCTAATGCTCCCCCCCAGTTGGCAGGAAAAACAGGGGTGGATCCTTGATTTTGAGCAAACTTGTCCTGCTTCCCCTTGCACTCCGGGGTCCCGGCGTGCAACGCGTGGCGCAAACGCGAGGGGCGCCGCATCTGGCTGACGACAAAGACCTCGCGGAAGGCCGCAGAGTTGTCAAACTCGTCGTTTTTGGGCGACTCGCTGCTGGAACGACGAGTTCCCGGGCCTTCCGGTGAGAGGGCAATCTGAAATGAGCAACCGTCGCTGGCGAAATCGGGGTGTGATAACCTCCATGCCAAAGCAACACAAGTGCAAAACCAATCGGACCCTTCCCGATGGCAACAGTCCGCAATAGTCCGCAATGCCAAGCGGGGCACCAAAGCGTCGAGCATGACGTGCCTGGATCAATAGACACCGATTGGTTGATGCTAGGTGACCTGATACATCTAAGCATCCCGCGTTTGCCGCCCTCAATTTGCCGCCTTGCCTTTCATAACAAATAATCCCAGTGCCCTCTGCTGAGGCAGCAACACATTTGCTAGCTTCATGGCTTGTCTCGCTTAGGCCATGTCGGAGTTTTCTACAGGTTCTTGATAAGCTGCTGGGAAAGCAGATTTCACCCACAATATCAGTACTTTGGTTTGCGCATGTCTGTCTAACCACTCGGCTTGGAAAATCAGAGTCGACAGCACGGTGACTGCGAGGAAACCAGGGAGCAAGCTCCACCTCCGGATGATTTGTCTAGGGGAACCACTCTGAATTAGAGATGTTCGCCAACTAAATTGGAACCTCTCGAGTCTCCGTTGATCAACCAGTTGACTCCCGACTCACTGGGACTTGCTCCGAGCTTCGGTACAAAGCTTCGATTTCTCGATGGGTCCCCATTGGGCCCAGGGTCCCCCGCATTGGGCCCAGGGTCCCCCGCATTGGGCCCAGGGTCCCCCAGCGCATCCGCCGGGCCTGTCGAACTTTCCCACACATCGCTGGAGGTGTCGCACTCAAATCGCGGGGAACCGTTGGCGAGATCTGGCCATTGGGAAATGGGCAGGGTGAACTCTGCCCGTTGCCAACTCATGAAACTGCTCAGCAATGCTGGCGGGCTGTTGCACTTTGATTAGCTCACTTGCAGCAAGTGTCGGTTTTCTGGCCATGTGCTGCACCGGGTGGGCATGGTCCAACGACTTGAGCTCATCAGCTCAGCAGGTCGGTACGAGTTTTTTCTCAAACTGTTGGACCCCCATCCCCAAAGCGACACCGAGAGATGCCACACCGTCATATGCAGCTGGCCAACTACCTAGGGCTTCGGCAGAATCTGCGGCGCTCAGGGCCGAACTCCACAACCTCTGCCAAGCGATGGTGAAGCCCGACGCAGGCTCCCTTCAGAAAAAGGGGCCTTTGTCTTGAGCCTCCCTCAGGTTGCATGTTACTGCGCGGACGGGCAGCAGCATGGTAGCCAGCTTTTTGTGCCACAGCCTGGTTTCTCAAGATTGGACTCTCTTTAAACCGATCCGAAGAGGGGTGCCAACTCCAAAACAAAACGGTCTTGAAGCCACCCCCCCACAAATGTTGCAAGGCTTCCTCTAGTTGCCTTCCCACCAATTAACTTAGAACCAGACAGTGGGTCCCTTTGAACGGAGATTGTCTTCCAGGAGCTCCTTGTCAGGCTCCATGTGGGTGTGGGTCAAAATTAAACCACCAAAAAAACCGCAGATGTGTGTCCATGTTTCCTCTTAGGGTTCCATTTTGCCAAGGCCATGTGAATTGGCGTTACGTTACGCCAGTGGTCTTTTTCCCGAGCCGCACCCGACCCAACCGAGGCTCCAGCGTGGAAGTCCCTCTCCTGCAGCTCCGGCCACCGGAAGAGTCTCGCCCGCGCCGCCTGGGCCTCGGGGGGGGGGGGGGGGGCGTGGGGGGGGGGCTGGGGGCCTCTTCGCTCCAGGCTGATGTTGTTGATGTTCTGCTTGGGTGATCTGCGTTTGGCCTTATTTTGGCCTGGGATTAGCAACCTTGGCCCCAAGGTGATGTTGTTGATGTTCTGCTTGGGTGATCTGCGGTTGGCCTTGTGGGAGGGGGGCATGGGTCGGTCCTCGTGACTCTGAACACTTGGCATAAGAAGGGTTTCGGCGAGTCATGCGACAGATGCCTTGTTAAACGGCCCGGCCTGAGCTCAAGGGGGCCAATGGACGTTAAACCCTACGTGGGCTCCGACAAATGGGTTCCTTTCGGACGCTACAGTGATGCAAGCGATCGGAACCCGTTTAGGCTCCCCCGAGTTTGGTGCAACTTCCAAATTATTTCTCCCTTCCAAACCGATCGAGCAGGGGCTGCTGCTACGGCCTCCTGCTCTTCAGCTGACAGACGGTTGTCGTTCTCGTAGCCCTGGCGCATGGGAAGCAGCAGACGAGAGACCGCATGCAAGAAAGAAATGTAACATGTTGAGTCTCGAGAGAGTTGCAAGATCAAAGCCCCTGCAGAAAGGTTCTGAATTAGTGCGAATATTCTTGGAGGCGTTCTTAGAAGGTTGGGAAACTTTCTGGGGGGTGATGGGGCCCAAAGTGTGCAGCATGCCGCTTGACACACCTGAAATTCGCCAAGTTCGCCCAAGTGAACTCTTTCTCACTAAGGACGAGGAGGGTTCCTAAGACGGGGTCCCATGCATGTGAGAGAGAAACTCCTTTTGATACTGATGTTCTTCAAAATTGTCCCTCGCAAGGTCGTCAAAAAACAGTTGACTAAATCTTGATTGTTGGACGGTGTCAGATATTGGTCTCGGAAATTCTCAATGTTGTTCACGCAGCTGACGCCATCAATGACCAGACATCCAGACGGCCCATGGCAAGTCACAATGTCCTTACTCCTAGCGTCCCTCACATGTTTTAGCTATGGCTGCGTGGCAAAGCAGCCCTGGGGCCACTTTCAATCTGCAGCAGCAGCACTGACTTGAAACCACATGTCTGGCCCAAGCGCAAGCACGGGCGCGCGTGCTTTCGTGTCAGGAAGTGCCTTTGAGCTTCGCCAATCCAAAAAAATGTGGCCAGGGCAGCTGAAACATGTCGCAACTCTTCCACTGATTCATGATGCTTTGCCTGCTTGCCCCTCAGTGATGAGCATGTGAAAGGCGCAAAGAACGCGGTGGAGCTGCTCATCAATACGTATCACCGTCTAGGAACGCTAAGTCTAGCTCACTCGTGCTCACTCAAGGTCGGGGCAAGCGTGATTGAAATCATTTGCCTGATGATTTGCTGACTCTTTCAACTATTCTGGGTCAGGGCAACAAGCAGGCTGGTTTCCTTGACGTCGTTTCTTGCCTTTGTTTCCCCCCCCCCCGGAAAAAAAAAAAACTAGACCACGGTTGGCCCGAAAGCAGAACATCGCAAGCGAGGTCGGCCCAACGCTGCAGGATGCGTTCTTTTTCCCTACACTTCGTGAAGCAAGCGCGAGACAGCACCAGGCAAGGTGCTCTGCGCAAACTGGTCGGTGCAAGTTGGTCTGCGCAAGTTGCTCTACGCAAGTTGCACTGTGCAAGTTGCTCTGCGCAAGTTGCTCCGCGCAAGTTGCTCCGGCAAGTTGGTCCCTGCAAGTGGCTCCCTGCAAGTTGCTCTGTGCAAATTGCGCTCCCTGCAAGTTGCTCTGTGCAAGCTGCTCTGTGCAAGTTGCTCTGTGCAAGTTGCTCTGCGTAAGTTGCTCTGCGCAAGTTGCTCTAGGCAAGGCGCTCTGCGCAAACTGGTCGGTGCAAGTTGGTCTGCGCAAGTTGCTCTGTGCAACTTGCTCTGCGCAAGTTGCTCTGCGCAAGTTGCTTTAAAATGCAAGTTGCATCTTGCGACGCCCGCCCGCGGACCAGGGAGGAATCGAACCCGCGACCCGCCGGTTCCGGGAGCAGGCGCGCGAACCACGAGACAACTCCCGAGGACCAGTTCGAACAACAAAAGTCGCAAAAAACCTTGAGATTTTGCACCTCGACCACGCCGATTCCCGCAGAGGGTTGCGCGAGCACCGCAGAAATCGCAAAAAACCATGGGTTTTTGCACCTCGACCACGCCGATCCCCGCAGAGGGTCGCAGCGTGGGTTTTTGCACCTCGACCAATCCCCGCAGAGGGTCGCGCGGGAAAAATCGCACCATGGATTTTTCGCACGCCGATCCCCGCAGAGGGTCGATTTTCGTGTAGTGTCGTCGGCACTACCCCGCCGCCCTAAGAAGAGATTTTAACTCCTCGCAAGTCAATTGCACTTGACTCCTTGCACTTGCAACTTGCACTTGACTCCTTGCTTGTTTCAAGTCATTGAAGTCATTGCAAGGAGTCATTGCAAGGAGTCATTGCAAGGAGTCATTCATTGCAAGGAGTCATTGCAAGGAGTCATTGCAAGGAGTCATTGCAAGGAGTCATTGCAAGGAGTCATTGCAAGGAGTCATTGCAAGGAGTCATTGCAAGGAGTCATTGCAAGGAGTCATTGCAAGGAGTCATTGCAAGGAGTCATGAGAGCCATTGCAAGTTGCAAGGAGCCAAGTGCATGGAGTCAAGTGCAAGTCGCAAGTGCACGGAGTTAAGTGCAAGTTGCAAGTGCAAGGAGCCAAGTGCAAGGAGCCAAGTGCAAGGAGCCAAGTGCATGCAAGTGTGCAAGTTGCAAGTGCATGGAGTCAAGTTGCAAGTGCACAAGTGCCTTGCAATGCACTCCTTGCAATGACTCCTTGCAATGACTCCTTGCAATGACTCCTTGCAATGACTCCTTGCATTGACTTTCATGATGATGATTCCTTGCAATGACACCTTGTAATGACTCTCATGAGAACAATTCAAGTGAACCCAGCGGAAGAACCCTTCGCCATGCTTTCGGGAAAAAAACAACTACCGAGGGTAACGTTTGGTCTAGTTCCTGCCTGTTAAAGTGTACAAGGAATAAAGTTGTTGAGAATCAGCATCAGCAAGCCCGTGGCTCAACCACAGCTGCTTGTGCTGCGCCTTGTGCTGCGCCCAGTCGATGTTCATGGCCTGAAGGGCTTGGCAAGCCCTTGGCAGCATCGTGGCTACTTGGCTAACCGCGGTGCTTTCTTTCGCACCGACTCAGAACATTTCATCATGCTTAAGCTGTTGACAAGTCCCAAGTTAGCAAACTGTCTAAGACACCAGCAAACGCTACACATCGCAAAAGTTGTCCATGCGGCTGCCGCGTCAAAAGTGCCCAAATCATGCCCAACGAGGCCAGCCGGGCGGCCGAACCAACATGCCACATGCCCACCCTTTGCACAGTAATCCGCACAATTAGGATGGAACAACAATGGACAAGTTGAAAAACCGCAAGATGCGCCAGTCAAAATTTGCAGTACCCTTTACGGACATGATAAATTTGAAGAGGCCCCATGTCCCCCCAAATGGGAGCCAAAGGGCGGTCAAGTGGCCACCACGACAGTTTGGAAACCCTAAAAACTTGGCACTAACACAGAAGACATGGCTCCATTTTTGCGGTGTGTCCTTTCAGCGGCACCTGGCTCCTACTAAATCCCTGGACACCAAAACGGGTTTGCCACCACTACACCTGAGCCGCAAAGATCCATGGAAGCTCATGGAGACCAGCCTTGTTGACGAAGCCGACAAACAACATGATGGGCTTCATTGAGCTCATAAGTCGCCGACAAGAACAACTTAGCCATTGTTTGCCATCAAATATATCCGAGCAGTTCTCGGGATTTCCCCTGGTTTCGTTGTGTTTGATGAAACTTGGCCACCGCCACATCAGCACCGCCCCATTAAGCCGCAAATGATCGAATGCCAGACATGTTGGCCTTGAACCTCATATCCCTGGAGTGCACTGCTCCTTTCGGCCGAAAGGATGCTGAGCTGGCAGGCTGTGTAAGTGATGGTCGCCTCGTGGTATTTCCTCGGTGTGAGGGGGGGGTTACTTTCGTCTCAAAAATCCGAGGGCGAGCTCGGCCTTGGGATTTGGCCATTTCCACCGCATGGAGGTCTTGTGCTTGCCACCCAGTTTGAATCTGCCCACTTTCCACTTGGGTTGAAACGGCCCTAAACTGCCACGGCCGCATTGGGGTGTGCGGAAATGTGCGGGATGAAAAGCAGGACCGCAAAGGTGCAAAGCAAGCGTTCACACACTCTTGGAGGTTCAACAAGTGAGAAATGGGGGAACCCATCATCCCCTCAATACAGAAAGGTTGCACAAGGGCGAGCAGCGCAGCGCTGGCTCTTGGATCAGGGGACGAAGAACTTGCCTCACACGCCAGGCTTCAGATCTGTCCAAGGGGAAAACCGCGCGATACCAAAACCATAAAAAAAGGCGACGTCGTAGTGAAGAGGGTGACGGTTGCCAAACCTGGGGGCCTTCTTTCGTAGCCCCTCAAGGCGGCACCTTTGGCACCAAGGTCCCAAAAGGGAGCCTACCCAAAATGGAATCCTGGTGGACCAAAACCTCCGGTCCCCTGGTGGTTTAATTTTGACCCATACCCATGTCTTGACAAGGTGGAGGAACAAATAGAACCCTCAAAAACCAATCAGCTGGAGGTCACTGACCCACGGAAGCCGCCGGAAGATGACAGATCTCATTTTTCCAGAACAGAGCCCACTTCCCACCGCGTTCTACAATTCCATGCGCAGTAAGGGAACTGCGCTATCCCAAGGTTTTGGTGTAGGGCTGTTGCAGGCGAACCATCACCAGTTGGTTGCCAGCTTGACATCAGCTTGCTTTGGCAGGGGTGTGGGTTTGTCTCAAAATCACCCCCCCCCCCCAGAAGATTTGCTCCTCTCGCTTAGTTGCCCAGTATACAAGGTATCCTAAAAAACGACACCCATTTCGGCCGTTTTGAGTCCTGTCATGCGGTTGCCTTAGGTATCGCTTCAAACCGTACCTCTTCTCAGAAAAAAAAACAGCCGCTAGACAAAACCAAGGAATCTCTTGCGAAGGAAAGTTACACAAGTAAAAAACGGGGAATGACACACACAAACACATTTCGTCTGAGGGCCCAGGGCCTTCGCGATTCCAAACGCCGGTGGCCCGTAAAGCGGGGCCCGCGCTTGTGCAAATCCACGGTGGCCTGATCCAAGCCCAGTAGGTTGTCCTGCCAGTACCCAAACCGCTCGTCAAAATCACAAACTTCCCAAAGCCCAATTTCGGGCTGCTTCATTCCGGAAAATTGAGATGAAGAACCGGCCATATGGTGTTGGATAGAATTCTGCCGAGGAAAGTGATCCGCCTGAATTCTGAATCTCTTGCCTCGGGCGATGTGAGTAGCTGATCCTCGGTGTCTCAGCCAGTGGCAACCGAATTTCCAACACTGATATCAAAGCTGGAAGGCTCAAGAGCCAACGGTTCCTTATGGCGTAAGTTCCATTGGGTTGCCACCATTCAACAGGGCTGATGGGTCCTAGAATTGTAGTTCTTTCCCAATTTGCACAAACGACACCAAACGGAAACCAAGCATTCTAAGTCTTAGGGCCCGCCCCAGGAGCTGGTCATTCCGCCTTGAAACTGGAATGGGCCTTGCCATACTTAAGATGGACGCGTGCCCATTAGGTGGACCCTCTCCTAACACTCTACCCAGGTTTGGATTGCGGTGATTGGAGATCCATCCGCTAACATAGAGGGCTGGGATGCTTTTTGCTGAATAGGCCCCGGCTTTTAAGTGGCTTGGAGCTAAATTTGTGCTAGGTGTGCGACCGCCAGCCCCAGCCAACCCTAAACCCACCCAGCAGCTTGGATATCAGCCCTTTGCCCAGCAATGAACCCCCAATCAACCCTGCCCTCATTGAGATCAAAGCCAGCCTAGAACCCGGGGCAATTAAACCAGCCCCAAGCAAGTCCCAAGTGCCACCAAATCAGAGCCAACAATAAGCAGCCCGAAGTCCAAGTGAGGCTGGTGATGCTGGGGTCGAATCCACCAACCCACCGAGGTTAAGCCCCAACTGGGGCGAGTTAAACAACTAAAATAACAACAAGCACCGGTTCCAAAATAGGGAGTTTGCAAAACTGGCTGGCAGTCATCGATCAAGATCCACATCGAGCACAATGAAGTAACCGAGTAATCCACCGACTTCGGTCAAGGAGAAAAACTGTTTTTCGTATCTGGTTGGGGTTCCCGTCCTGGTTTTCTTTGTCTGAGAACCCTTCCGTGTACCAGGCCAACTTATACCTCCGGACTTCGGCCCTCCTCGGACACCGCGCGCCGCAAAGGCGGCACACCTCACAAGGAACAAGGCCAAGATTCATTGCCAGCACACCTTGGGAGCCTTCCAGGCCCTGGGAAACATGCAGGGCCTCAAACTCAGTTATGGCACGACCCAATTGAGTCACGGTCAAAACCCGGTATTAAAATGGTCGACCCAGAACCATTTATGGAATCAAGAAGGCGGCCGCGGCTATTTATGACTAACCTTCATCTACCCGGGTTTTGGTTGTGGCTCAATTGTTGCAGGCTGTGTCGTGCGCAAGCCTCGGCATGCGCCATGTCGGCCGAAGCGCGTGAACGTCCAGGCCCACCTGCGCGGAACAAGTTGAAATGAGGAAGTGGGTACCCAACGCTTCCCCCCTCTGTTCAGCCCGTCTCTCACCACACTCCTCATTTCTGGGCAGTTTTGGTGCTCTCTTGGCACAAATCTGCAAACTGTACAGCCCCAAACACCTGCAAAGCCGGGAAGTGCGCCATGCAACAGGAAGGAATCATGTCGGCGTTCCAAAGAGCCGGGCCGGAAACCGGATGCCACAGTTGTGGCATCCGCAATGCCCAAGCGACTACCCTTTATCCAATCATGACGCGGACCAGTTTTTTTTCTTTTTTTTTTTTGAGAGGATGGTGGCGATGGTCGTCTTGAAAAGCCGACGTAAGCCGACATGGTCCACTTCCATGGTGGAACCAAACCGACGTCGGCATCACAAACGGCACTCAGCAGTCGGTGCTGGCCACCCCCAGGACCATGGCCACCACGCCCATGGCCAGCAGCCCGCAGTCTAGCAGTCGACTGGTCCTCGGCTGAAGCTTTGCTCTTGGACTCACTTCCTGAGTGGATTGGCCCGAAAAAGTTTCTTTGTTTATGTATATATATATATATATGTGTGTGTGTGTGTTGTCCACGCCAGTAAAATAGTCTAAAAGGTTATTTGTTTTTGTCTACGCCGCTAAGATGGTCTTCCCAACAGTAACAAGTTTCAAGCCCAGGAACTCGGGGATTGGGGAGTGAGTAGATCCTGACACGAAAAAACGTAGGGAAGGTCCGCTTCCTGACATGGCTTAGGAGACCGGGGGCTGGTGGGGATGCCCATGGGAATTTGGCTGGGCTTGGCGTTTGCCTGAAATTGCAACTTCACTTGGATAAGCGGCCTTGCCCAGAATTCCCTTTGAGACAACCACTAAATGGGGACCCTCAACCTGAAAACAACTATAAGCTGTAGTAACACACCAACTAACAAAATACCTTTGACTGCAACGCTCAGATCATTGATGCAAGACAGGGGGGTGGGTAGCCCTAAACAACTGCTTAACTCTATTGCAAACGCCTCCGTATGCCTAGGGTGACAAAAAGGACAACATGCTCCAGAACCCTTGCCACCCTGCCTGGCTCGTCAAGGGAGGCGATGAAGGGGGTGACGCTGATTCCAGCAGTTGGCAAACATGATTTCCACACACACTTGCCCATTCAACAACACCATGCCAAACTCCAACAAAGTCGGCACTGACGTACAAAGTCGCCCCACAAAGCAACCTAGAAACCCCCTGCGCAGCGCTCAAAACCCATTGCCGCAATTTCTACTCCCTTCTACAACCAGCGAGATTTCGGCCAAACCAATGCTTTGGGCGCTCCCTGTCAACGTCGAGCGCTCGATTTGGGCCGGGGCTCAGGGAGCCGGGGCACAGCTTGAGGTGGCAAATGGGGGGCAGGAAGAAGCCGATGGCACCTCACGACATCCCAGGCTTTTCCTTACCTGCAGTAGCTTAGCCATGCTACCTTCTTTTTTTTTGAAGAGTAGCTTTGCCAACAACGGGCACCTTTTGTTGGTCCTTGACTTTAAAGCGGAACCTTTTGAGAAAGAAAAAAGATCACATGCGGGCAGAAGCTTTCAAGACTCCTTGCAGTGCTCTTTCTGACACCCAAACCCCCACAGCAACTGTGCAATAATTCACACGGAAAAAGTCAACCATCGACAACTGCCAAGGTTACCCAGCCCCAAGGGGGCCTTTGGGTATGCACCCGAAAAATAGGTGGCATTCCTTTTGGTTTCCCTTCTTTTAAGCCAGCTCGAAAAAGGCAGCAGAAAAACGAAACGACCTCCCGTTAGTCCTCCCGTTTTACCCACATCAGCGAGCTCGTTCGTGCCGCCGGCACTCATGGCGAAGCTGCCGCTATAGCCGGAGATGCAAGCCAAGTCCGGGATCACCTGAGCCATGAGCTTGTCCCACATGAACGGGGCGTCGCGTCGCTACCACCCATCCTGGGGCCGGAGCCCAAACAAACAGGGTTTCAAGAAGAACCACCTCATAAAAGTGCAGTTCAACGGCAACACAAGTGTTTGGTGAGCCTAAGCCGCAAAAAAAAACTAGACCACGGTTGGCCCGAAAGCAGAACATCGCAAGCGAGGTCGGCCCAACGCTGCAGGATGCGTTCTTTTTCCCTACACGAAGCATTCGTGAAGCAAGCGCGAGACAGCACCAGGCAAGGTGCTCTGCGCAAACTGGTCGGTGCAAGTTGGTCTGCGCAAGTTGCTCTACGCAAGTTGCACTGTGCAAGTTGCTCTGCGCAAGTTGCTCCGCGCAAGTTGCTCCGGCAAGTTGGTCCCTGCAAGTGGCTCCCTGCAAGTTGCTCTGTGCAAATTGCGCTCCCTGCAAGTTGCTCTGTGCAAGCTGCTCTGTGCAAGTTGCTCTGTGCAAGTTGCTCTGTGCAAGTTGCTCTGCGTAAGTTGCTCTGCGCAAGTTGCTCTAGGCAAGGCGCTCTGCGCAAAAAGAATGTTCGTGGCATTTGTCCTTAAATTCTTCGTATTTGGCCCCTTTTCACACACAAGCACACACGCGCAAGCAAGCGAGCGAGCCAGCCAGCCAGCCAGGCTCTTTGCCATTTCAAAGTTTTCAATGTTGCCACCCTTTGCTGGGTACCCAGCAGTTGTTTGCAGTTTGCCAGCTAGCAGTTGCGCATGGCTCCCTGGTTAGCAGCTGTCAGCAGTTTACTTCCCAAAGACTGTTTGGTTTGAACATGTTTGGCTTGCTTGCCAAACCTGGGGCCCGATTGCCGTTTCATATGCAGTTAGCCTTTGTGCTGGCTAGCCAGCGCCTTTTTGCACTTTCCTGGTTCTGTCTCTGTCTGTCTCTGTCTGTATCTGTCTGTCTTTATCTGTCTGTCTGTCTGTCTGTCTGTTGTCTGTCTCTGTCTGTCTCTGTCTGTCTCTGTCTGTCTCTGTCTGTCCCTGTCTGTCTCTGTCTGTCTCTGTCTGTCTCTCTCTGTCTGTCTCTGTCCGTCTCTGTCTGCGTGTTTGTTGTCTGTGTGTCTGCTGTTTGTCTGTCTCTGTCTCTGCCTGTCTCTGTCTGCCTCTGTGTGTCTCTCTGTCTGTCTCTGCATGTCTCTGTCTGCCTCTGTGTGTCTCTCTGTCTGTCTCTGTCTGTCTCTGTCTGCGTGTCTGTGTGTCTGTCTGTCTGTTTGTCTGTCTGTGTGTGTGTTGTTTCTTTGTTTGTTTGTTGTTCTGTGCTTGTGCGATGTGTATTTGTTTGCTTGATTTGGTTGTTGGTTGTTGTGTTTGTTGCTGACCGAGATGGACAAACAAACAGAGACAAGCGAGCAAGCAAGCAACCAAACAAGCAAATAAGCAAACAAACAACCAAACGACCGAACAAACACAAAGAAAAACAAAAAAACTGAATGAAAGAAAGAAAGGGTGAACATATACAAGACCACCAACCAACCAACCAACCAACCAACCAACCAAACAAACAAACAAACAAACAAACAAACAAACAAACAAACAAACACGAGCAAACAACACAGAACAAAACAGAACAACAAAACACAAAAACAACAACAAAACAAACAACAAACACAAAACAATCAAACAAACGAACAGACAAAAACGAGCAAGCAAGCAAGCAAGCAAGCAAGCAAGCAAGCAAGCAAGCAAGCAAGCAAGCAAGCCAGCCAGCCAGCCAGCCAGCCAGCAAGCAAGCAAGCAAGCAAGCAAGCAAGCAAGCACACACACACACATAAAGTAGACAGTCCATGCACATGCAACTTTCCAAGGTGTTGCAATTTCTTTGCGAGCGTCAGGCATGCAGTGTTTGTTGTCGTTAGCCAACTGCTCACCCGCTTGACTTGGTTTGCGTTGGCGGCATGGCAGACTTGTGAGCGAAGCAGTAGACACACTGGCAGTCACATTTTTTGCAAGTTGCACAGAACTGTGTTTTCCTGTTTTGCGTGGGCCTCTGGTCATGAAGATGCGTATCGTTGGCGGCTAGCCGCAAAGACTTGTTTGTCACGATGTTGTCACTGCAACTCCTCAGCGGCTAGCCCTGAGAAGGCACAGTCAAGAGTGTTAGGCGCAGGTTGCTTGCTCGCGAATGTTGGGCGCAGCAAGCTTCCCTGCCCAGGTTGTTAAATTTTGTCCCTGCGAACACTGTCAATCATTCTGCATGGAACGGGCGCCGAAAATCATTCTTGGCGCAAAGCTGGGCAAGTGACAGGCAGCCGCCATGGAAGACCTTGAGCTGCCGCCAGATGTTGGCTCCAGCCAAGAGGACCAGCGCAGCGAAGAATCTGACGTTGTGTTGCCGGAGGGCATTCTGCTGAACCAGTCCTGTTGCCGAAAAGACTGCATGGCGAAGGCCACGGCAGATGGCTTTGCTGCCAAAGCTCGGGCTCGCCTACAGGACAACCTGGAGCGACTGGACCAGCCAGGGCGCAACCAGCTGTGGTTCACGCAGCTCATGAGCATGAATGAGAAGGACCCGGCTGGCGCAAGGCGAGCCATACACTTGGCACGGCCAACAGTTGTGCGCAAAGGCGTACTCAACTGTGACAGGCTGCCCGATGAAAAAGCTGCGGCTCTATGTGCAGCTTATAGCTGATGGCGCAGTGAGGCCACCCGTGGATGCGCGCACTGTGCCCATGAAGAAGGAAGAACCCAAGCGAGAGGACGCTGAGTCCTTCTTCGTTCACATCTGGCAGAACCTGGCTGAGCCGTTGGGCGAGGCAGCCCAGGGCGAAGAAGAAGATGAGTCTTCAGGCCTCCCTCCTTTGCAAGAGCGCGGTTTGGTGCAAGCACCTGACTGGGTTGCAGAGGTTTTGGCCCCAGCTGACTTATCACCAGATGGCAAGAAGGTGCAGAAACGGTGGCTGCCGCACATGACCACAGCAGAGATCTATGAGCTGTACACGAACATGCACCAGACGCACACTGAGTTGGCGTCTTTCTCAACCTGGTCGAGGGTTTGGAAGCGCTGGCAAGGGATCTTGGGAGTAAGATCTGTGCAGACACATTCTCGCTGCGATGCTTCCGCAAAGTAC